TTCTCACGTGACCAAAAATGATGGATATAAGGCCTAAAGTTCAAAAAAGGTGTGTTGTTATGAGCGAGAGAGCTCTTTCTTCACCGGCTGAGCAGGAAGCCAACGGACCACTCACCTGTCCGTTCTTTGATCTCGCACAGGACGCTGAAGAGCGCAGGCTTCATTCTGTGGCAGTTTAAAGCGTGTTTCCTGTCAGGAAAAAACAAAAAAAGAGACAAGAGAAACGTAAATTCTAAGCTACAACTACAGGTGACGCGCGCGCGTTGCATGTCGGTGGCAAACAGACCGGATTCACATGAGCGAGTGTGCAACCGGACCCGTGAAAACAGGCCCGAGCACATATTTGTCTAAATCACCTCAACTTACTCACCTTAAGTGAAGACAGACAAGACGACGGACTGACGACACAATCGTATCATGCAGAAACTCTGAAAGCTTCAAAAAAGACACGGAACAAGTCTGCGTCCGCGTGCGATGTGGGAGGAACAAATACGTCATAGTACAACGACCCCCATCGCAATGTAGTGTAGATACAATACTGACACTCGCTTTGGGACACCGTTTCCAGCACATTATTGAGACGGGGTTATTTGATCACCCATCTGCACCTTTCTGATCTAAAACGTTTGCCAGTTTTTGGGGCCGTTTGCATCTGAGCGTCCGGTCACACGTCCCGGGCCGCGTATGTCGCCCTGAAGGCGCTGCGCCGAGCACGATCCGACTTCTCTACTCTGTTTTGATTGTGATGTATGAATAAGGACCCCCCCCCCACCCCCCCCCCCCTATAAGTGTCTATAACAGTGTTATAGAGGAAAGAAGCCGGGGTTTCCAATAACCAAACTGCGTTCTAATGCAAAACTTAACTGGCAAACCAAAGTCTTCAGACGTGCCAGCGGGTTTGTTACTCCAGTGGGATCTGCCCCCCCCCACCCATGAGATTATTATTAGGGGGAACTTTGTGATTTCAGGCCCCACTGTGGAGCGCTGGGGAGTCGGTGATAAGACCTGTGGGGGTGAAAGGTGGTGATACACAGCTGGAGAGCAGAGAGAGTGTGTGGGGGGGGGGGGGGTACAAAAACCCTTTCAGCATTGTGGAAGTTTTGGGGTGTTATTACTGTCTGTGATGACTATTTAACCCCCCCCCCCCCCTCCAGCCCCTCCCTCCCCATGCAGACCCAAATCCTCCGGCCTGGTGCCGGGCCCGGTCTGCGGCTGGTATTACCTGGCCTGGGCCTCGTCCAGACTCTCGTCTGTGATGACCATGATCTGCTGGAGGATGTCACCAATGTCCTGCTGCGGCTGAGCCATGCCGTGGTGTTTCCTGATGTTGTCAGGATCCCCCACGTCGTCGTGGGGCAGTCCGGTTAGTCCGATGTGACCCAACATCATGCGGGCCTGGTCCTCCATACCTACAGTGTGGCTCTTATTGTGGAGTGGTGGAGGGAGAGAGAGAGAGAGAGAGAGGGGGAGAGATGGGAGGAGGAGGAGGAGGAGGATCACTACAAAAAGGGGGTTTCCTTCTCCAACTTTCAGCACTTGGAAGAAAAAAAAATGAGGGGTTGGAAAGTTTCCCGTAAAGAGCGAAAAAAAAAAGGGAAAAGGAAAAAAGCCGAGGGGCTGAAAACAGCGAGAAGTGTCGGCCGAGCTGCAGCTGCGCGCTTCAGCCGCTCAGTAACAAAGCAAAGAGACAGAAGAAGTGCAGCAGCTTCTACTCGTCCGAAGCAAGACGGTACAAAACTACGGGCTCTGCAAACCGGTTCCTCTTTGGCATTGGGAGGGAGGGAGGGAGGGAGGAGGGGGTGTAGGGGTGAGGGGCACGGTTCACAAAATGTTAGCCTTTCAGTAAGATACTGTGGTTTCTTGCAAGTAGCTTGACGCGCTACGGACGTATTTTTCTTCTCCCCCCCCCCCACCACCACCACCCCCCCCCCCCAAAAAAAAATCCCCCAAACCCCCTGAAACGACGAGCGGAGCGGCTCCGGGTATTCACCAAAGCGGGCTCGGTACGGAGCCGGTCCCCGGGAGGCTGGTGCTCGCTGCCGGTCGTATCGGTGCCGTGGCTGCGTCTAATGACCCGGGAGCCCCTGTGATGTCGTCGTCTCCGCCCGCTCTGCTTCTATCCATGAGTCCCGAATCCTCGCTCGGTAATTAAAAGTGAGAACCGACGCGGTCACTAAAAGGCGGTCGGGCAAAGGTGCAACCGGGAGAACTCCATCTGCCGGGTTCCGTCCAAGTCCCGCAAATTCAGGTTTGTACCCTTAGTTGTTGCTTATTGCTGGGGTATTTTTTTCTTCTTCTTTCCCCCCCGTACGGCTGTTGTCCCACTCCTCCCAGAAAAACACCACCATGGAGCAATGCCGTCCTCCGTCAAACCGCACGGTGCGAGAAAACACCACTTCCGCTCCGGCGTTTCACACTAATGCGCCACAGAGGCGTGTTTTAATGAGGGCATCGCCCGAGAGGCAGGAAACGATTTATTACACGCGCGGGGGTTATTTTACGGCGTTTTACGTCGATGCAAAGTGGAGAAACACACGGTGGGTCCAGCCCGAGGCGGTGTAAAGGCGGTGGTTCTGGCCGCATCGCGGACCGCGTGAAGGGGGCCGGTGGCCATGTTACCATCCATCACCCGCACGTTTTCCTTCTCTAATAGTCAGCAGCCTACAATACCAGCGTTTACCAGCTTTACTGCATTTGAATCGATCCATTTATTCTTGTGGATAGATAGATAAATAGATTAATGTGTGTATTTATATGTGCTCTAGACCACTGGCCTGTTTATCTGCATTTCGTCTGGCCGGAGACCTGTCCCACTTAAATTATTATAATATCCAAGGCCAAATAAAACACATTTATCTTGTCACTGCAATACAAAACGCTGCTGAAAGTCAATACAATTTAAACATTTAAAAAAACATTTTTTAGCACGCTACCGTGTCAAATCAAATGACCAACCCTGAAAAAGGAACAATGGTTTTGTACAAATGCCTTTCTCCAATGAGATTAAAGCGCGATAGTGCTTTTATTTTGAAAGACACAGTGATTCAATTCCGGTCTCTTTCTGGCTTTTTCTGGTTCCCTTGACGCAGCTCTCCATCAGTATGTCGGCGGGCTCCGGGGAATGCTGCAGTTTGATTTGAAGCCGCGAGGAGGCCATCGCCTCACCATGGAAACAATGTTGTTGTTGATGTAGATGCTTATGATGCGACCAATACTAATACGTGTGTGTGTCTGTGTGTGTGTGTGTGTGCGTGTGTGTGTGTGTGTGTGTGTCTTGTCCTGAAATACCTGAAGTTGCCCTCTCCTCATAGACACTGGTCTTCTTTTGTGGTGACCTCGTCGTCTATTGTCTGTAATGACATTCATTACGATGTTATGTTTAATCAGTTTCGAAGAGGATTCTCATACACCTTCTCAACTGCCTCAGTTTGTTTGCAAGCTGTGCGTGTGTCTGTGTGGGGATGTGGGGAGGGAACAGGATATGTAGTGTTTTTTATTGAGACTGCAGCGTGTGTTTGTTTGCACATGAGCTGAATGCATGTGTGTGTGTGTCACTCTAGACAGGAGGCTGACTTGATGGAAAAGATGAATGAAGCCCCCCCCCCCCCCGCCCCTCCAGCATAGTAGGAAGTACCAGAGCGTCTGAACCTACTCTCTCATTCAGTCTATCACTCTCATATTTACTACTCGGCGAACACAGGCGGTTGCATGCACCCGCAGCAAGCAGACACACAGATGTGCAGGCATTCACACGCACACACACAGACTTACACACACTCACGGCAATTTGCCTTTTCTCACTTTCGCTTTCGGTCCCAGCAGATTACAGCTGGCTCATTCTCATTAATTGGCCAATCAGCCAATAAAGCTAATGCTCTGAATAAACACTGATTTTCTATTTTCACCCAGATGGAACAGTCCACCCGCTGCCGCCCTCCCCCCAGCAACCACCCCCTGTGGTCTGCTCTCCATGTTGCCATGCCAACAGGGACCCGATCACCTCTGGATGCTCCAGTCGAGTGTCTTTTTCTCTCTGGTTTTCACACACGTATACGCACATCATTTGAGTTGATTAAGAGGACTGTCTGTTGTGAGAGTGTGTAGTGTGCAGAAATCAGAGGAGCTTATTTCGAATGTGAATGCCTCCGTGTTCAATGGCGGAAATGATAAACAAAGGATGGGAGTGATTTTACTCTCTATGTTTGGGGTCATTGTTTGTGGGTTATTTGCATTCGGTGGGCTCACCGACTACTTAAAACGTATCGCACCTTGAGAGGGTTTGAGATGGTTTCAACCCTAATGTTGATGTACTGAACTGTGTTGTGCGTGTGTGTATCCTACATGAAAAGGATAAGGTGGATGAAATTACACATTTTTCTCTTTGTCACACTAAAAATCTAAAAACAAAACATTTGTTGGTATTAAATGCTTTCCTCTCTCTCCTCTTTGTGGCACTATAAGGCCCATGTCCATTTGTCCCCGCTGAAGATTGACATCTTTTTTGAATTTGAAAGAATTAAAAAAAATTCTATTAAGGGACACTTCACCAAAAAAGGCACCTTTACCCTATGTGCTGTGTTGCTGTTTATCGATTTAGATTGTTTTGGTGTGTTTGGGTATTTCCTAGTTTTGGAGACATCAGCCATAGATGTCTGCCTTCTCTTCAATATGATAGAACTATGTGGCATTCAGCATGTCAGGCTCAAAATCCCATCCCCAAAGTCATTTTTTAAAATGAAACACAAATGTCACTTTCCTGAAATCATGACCCTGCTCAAGATGATCTGATTTTGAATCTATTTGAGCAGCAAATTACGTTGCGTGTAGGATAAATTCAGCAGTGTTATTGTTAACGTTAACGAAGGAACATGTCAGCTAGTGCCGTGTTTTGCATGGTTTTCATCAATACATGCAACATCGTAGGCTACATGTTAGCAGAATGAATTCACTGTTTGTTTTGGGTCTTTTCAGAAAGAAAATGTGTGTTATCCATTAAACCAGTAGTGTGTGCATGCCTGGTTTAAAACACCAGCCTGGTCACACATCCTCTCCTTGCCCTTTAAAACCCCCACTGCTCCCTACAATTCATCCCTTCTTTATCTCTCATTCCCTGTTACCCTTTTTCATTATCCTCCCCTCGCTCTCCCCTCTCCTCCTCCAGTCTGCCTGCTCACCCTCATTTTCATGTAAATGAGAATCGATTCTTCTCTCAACACCCCTCTGTCCACACCTAGTTATATCTGCAGTGGCCTGTGCGTTTGTTGTGATACGAGGCCAAGCAGGCGAGCTAAACGTGTAGTTTTATCCTTCATTATTTTGGTACACGAACAACACGAGCCCAGAACGTCAGATAAAACAGATCCTTTTGAGCTACGGAGGAAAAAATACATGTTTAATGCATCCATGACGTGAATTTGGACCACGGACACGCTCTTTTTATCTGACTGTTGCAATGCTGCCACCTTGCGTTTGGACTCGTGTGCGCTTCCTTTGTTTTCGGTGACGTCACGCCGCGCGGTATGATGGGAGTTGGAGTCGGAATTGATTCAGCACTTCCTGCTTAGAAGAAGAACACGAAGACACTGCGGCTGTTTAAGTTAGTTAACCAAAACGTTGTTGACGTGACAAACCGTTTCCCCTCGAAGAGACACGAGAGGACACGGAGACAGAGTAAGTAACGTTTTGTGTTTTTATGGTTTTATTGGTTGACTGCGGAACTGAAGCGAGGCAGCTCATTCTGAACAAGATGCAGCCAACATTTACTCTTGTAAAAAGAACCCGGCTTGTCGTGTCACTTCCCAAAAGTGACTCCAAGTGCTGGTTGAACTACAATCCGTCTGTGTTATTAATAACTATTACATCACACGTGAACTTGTTTGGAAACATAGAAGTATGACATTAGCGCCAATGTCCAAGTCGCTGGAAGAACAATTAACCTGTCGAAACTCACAAAGGATCGATTGATCGTCACCATTTCCTAAAGTGGGCAGATTGTAGCCAACGATGCAGTCAAACTATTGATAAAATGGATCGCTACCTTCTTCTCACAGGTATTCATTCCGCACCCTGATACCGAATATAGTTCACGAAATAAGTTTTACATTTTAAAATCTCACTCCAATACTTTTTAATTGTTTTTGCTATGTTCTGTTTTTATGTTATGAAAACTGAAGAGCGGGATTTGGTTAAAAAAAAAATTAACAAACGGCAGATATTTCGGCATATGATGTGGTAGATCTTTAATATCTGCTTGTTGTAGACTTTGCGTTTAATCAAATAGCAGACAAGGAAAATATTTGAAATGCTTCATTTTCAAATCAATTTAATGAAGTACCTCGGTCTGTTTTTTTTAAAATTTGCCAAAATCACACTGCTTGTTTCAAGATATGAATATTTGGAAATAAAAAGACATATCTGTTGACGTTCTCCATATCAACGTCTACTTTCTAGCGGAACAGGGTGCTTGGTAAAAGAGCCTTTAAATCATTTTTTTTTTAAGGGGGAAATGCTCAACCTCCCTGCTGTAGTTTAAACTGAAAAGGATCTTTGTGTCCCGAACAACGTAAATAAGAGATTAGATCATCCTTAGACTCAATGGGAGCCTGTTGAACTTTAGTAAGACCTTTGTTTTTGTCACATGAACACAGCAAATAGGTTTACAATGACAACCAGTCCTAGAGAAAGCACATTTTTACACACACAAAGGCACTATCATACAGGAATATGACTTCATTTATTGTACTATTCCTCTTTCTCTAATCCTCAGATGTCGTTGATCGAGCACGGGTCAGTCCGGCCAGTTACAGCGGTCGGCTGGACCTCCAACACCGGCACCTGCCCCAAGGGCTTCACACTGGTACACACACATTATATATATATATATATATATATACTAGTGCTGTCAAACGATTAAAGTACTTACTCAAGTAAGTACACAACTCAAGTCACAACTAATGGCGAATTTGCCTGGAAAAAAAAACGATTTACATGTTCATGTAAATTGATTTAATATACGATCATATGTTTGTATGCTGTCGTGCTGGTGGGAGTTTTTACTACAAGATGAAGGAGAGGTGCTGGATTTGTTTTCTTCTTGAGTGACATTTGTAGGACTGTCCCTCAAACAGGATCAAGTAGCTGTGTCACAACATCTAAAGCAAAAAAACAACAACCTGTAAATGGGTTTGCGTTAACGTCCTTAATAACGCGTTTACCCGACAGCACTAATATATACATTTTTGTGCCCCGTCTCGCCCAAATTGTCTCGCCTTATTCCGTGCCTATTGTTCATCTTGTTATGCCGCGGTAGTATGAAGAGGTACATTTACCTTCTCCCTTCCCCTGTCCCTCTGCAGATCAGCATCACAGAAGACGGAGCAGCAGCAAACTTTACTCGCAGCTTTGCGATTAAATCTGGATATTACCTCTGTTACAGCAAGGTAGCCGACTCCTCTGTGCTATTAACCATGGCACGAAAGACACTTGTGTTCACCCTTGTCCCTCTTGCCTTTTATAAATGGGCTGAGTGTGTCTCTCTCTCTCTCCGTAGGAGTTGACATCTGGTATGGTGGTGTCGGACATTCAGCTCATCTCAGACAAGGAGGCTATTCCTCACGGTTACAGCTACATAGAAGAGCACCTCGAACCAAGTGAGAACACGCACATACACGGGTTTGTCTTGATACACTTGTGCACGCGTTTGGTCTCTTCCCCCAACCATCACAACTACACGCCCATCCTTTACCCTGACCCACACCTAATGTCCTCACTCCAATGGTGGAAAGCTGCAATCGGGCCTTGCAAAGCACGGAGGGTCCCACACACAACCCCCCGATAGTTTTTCCTGGTATTTGGTGTCCTATTTACGCGCTGTTGATGTCTGTCCAGAGGCCTCCGTGTGGAAGAAGAAACGGGCGTGCATGCTCGTCGTCCCAATGGGCAGCGTGGACACAGCTGTGTTGGACATCAAAGTGACTGCCAAAAGCAAAATGATGCTGCAGCACTACACGTGCCTTGGGTTGGTAACTTTCCCGCAGGAAAACATTTCCCTCGCACTTGTTTGCCCCCTGCAGTACTTTGTTTGTGAATGCACTCTCGGTGTGCCTTTTCTCCAGAGACATCCACGGCTATGTGTTGTGGTGCAGAAAGGGACATTTTTCCAGCCCGATGCCTAAAGCAAAGCCCCGGAGTGTCAGCCTGGACATCCGCAGGCTCTCATTGGAGCAGCCGTCTGCTCCTCTGCCCCTTCAACCCAGGTGCACCACTTATTTAACGTCCAGAGAATAATTCACAAAAGGAGCATTGGTTACTGATAAGGCATAGTCTTATGTGTAGGTAAAAAAAATCAAAATATCATTTGTACAACATTGAAAGATACTTTGTGTTTTGCTGATGTTTCACTCTCGGCATTAATAAATATCTATTGGTTTTACGCAGCCGCCCCAATCATCCAACGGCACCAAATAAACTGAGTCACAGACGCCACAGCTTCAAAAAACAGGACAACCTCGACAAACCAGCCGACGGCAGCATCCAGGGGATCACAGGTACTCCAAGTCTCCGCTCACACACAGGAAACGTACTGCGGGTTTCTCACAGCTGGCAACTGGACTAACCGCTCTCTGCCTTCCCTCCCTGCAGCTTTAGATGGAGTTCCTTTTAGCCTCAGCCCAAATTTCGATGGCCAGGCAAACGGCACGGTGAGTTTGACCTTCTTTTGGTCTCGGTTTATCTCATGATGCATGCGTTTTCCCCCCGAGCTTCTAACATGAACATGTATTAACATTTCTTACTCTTACTCCATATCCTTCTCTCTCAGGCTCTTCAGCTAAACTCTCAACTACACAACATCCGTATAAAGTCCCTTCAAGACATTGAGAATGAGGTAGGCTCACATCTGACGCTCAACCCTTTGATCCTCGAAATAAGACCAGGATGTTTTTTCTGACAAAGAATACACTCCCATTGCTTTTTGTTTTTCAGTATAACTACACTTTTGCGACCGAAACCGCCGCAAAGACAACCAGACCATCGGTGGCAACAGGAGGCGCCCAGACAGCTCAGTGATCAGCAGCTTGAGACGTGTTTGTTTGGGTCTTATTTCGCTCCCCGTCACGTACAGAGGCAGGACGATGCCCTCTACAGGTACTCTGTAGGCTTCTAAAGTATGCTCGCTTTAGTCTATACTCTGTTACCCTGCCGTCTATTTTTAAGTTTCTATATTTGCCAAAGGAAATGATCTGTTGGAATAAAAAAATCGACTTGTCGCATTGACATCTTTACAGGCTTTTGCAGCATTAAAGATGTGATGAAGCTAACAATCTGTAGTCTAGCTGCTGTTTGGGACGAGTCAAATTTAAACCGATTGCATGTTTTAAAAGCTGCTTCATCATATCACACAAACTTGCCTTTGAAGGTGTCTGCTCATTGCTCTGTTGACTGTTACCTGACATCCTGGAGTGCTACGAATCCTTTAATCGTTTGAATCATGAAGAATTTCTTAAGTGAAGCTGTATTGTTGAACTTGTATTGAAACTGACAGATACGCTAAGATATTTAAATGTAGGAGATGGTGTATTGCTTGGATAAAGCGACACACACTACTTCAGGTTATTCCAGGAAATACACCATAAATATTTTATGTTAAGATGAATAGAGGAAGTTTGTATATTTAGCAGGTGTTAGTCATACTAAGGGGGAGAGAATCTGGTTGTTGTTTAACTATCATGCAGAATAAGGACCAAATATTTATCTTTGAAATTGTACAATATATTAGGACATGCTTTATTATCTGCATTGTAAACTTTCATTGCCTGGAATAAATAAAAACCAAAGAAACACTAGTTCTGGCGTTTGTGTACATGCGTGTGGTGCCAGCTTGGAGAGGAACCACTCTGCGTTTAAGTGACATTTGATTTAATAAAGACCGGTGGGAAATGCAGCTTGAGAATGTAAATTGTGTACAATATGATAATGTGCAGTGCACAACAATGAAAAGGACTGAACATTATTTGTAGTCCTCACCTGCGCAGTGAGTAAGGACGTAGACAACAGGTTCACACAACCGCACGCTAAGCACAAAGATTCATTCTGATTTGATCTTATTGGCATATCTGAATTCATTCTCTACATCATTTCTATTATACATCCCAAATGTGTCTGTGTAGTCAACCCTCAGGTTATTATGCATGTATTTAAAAACACTTTACTCACACAGATCTACATGTTCACAGCTCTTTAGGGTCGTAACATGTAAATGTAATATAGTCCATAATTGGAAACATAAGTTATGGTGCATTACTGCCACCTGCTGTACTGTGTTGGGCTCTTACTAATGGATGTGTTATGTATGCATTAGCTTTTACACCATTGTCTCCCTGCAAAGTAAAGTGTAAAATACTTCATACGTTTGAGTTGAAAACTTTTATTTTCTAGAGTGACAAATATACATTTTTTAAAATACCAGTCTAAAGTGTTGCCTCAAAATGGCTCAACAAAGGGATTTAAGTTATACTGATACGTAAAAGAAGAGCTGAAACTCAAGAAATGACAAAAAAAGGAGATAATTAACAATATGTATGATTTTAAACCAAACAAAGTGATTTAATTCCGTGTGGTGTGAACATTTACTGTAAGCGTACAGTTACATTTGTACATTATCCAACAGACATCGTGCTGGTTGCGGGTCCATGTTTCTCCCTCCGCTGATCCGCGTGTTATTACGCGGCCATCGGCCGCATTCTGCGTCCACGTCGATGGAGAGATGCGCGGCGATGCAGCCACACATCTGTCCGCTCCGTTTGTTCTGCTTTCCGGCGGAAAAAAATGGGCTCTGATTCCAACCAGCTGTTTCCCGCCTCGCACAGATCAGCTGCACGCACACACACGCGCACGTAGTAGGCGGAGGCAACAGACACACGCTCACACACACACACGTACAGACACGTAGTAGGCGGAGGCAAGAAGCCACACACACACACACACACACACACACATTGGAGGGAACCCCATCAGCTGTGGGAAGCAACACAGCTCGAACTTACTTTTTTATTTTTCTTAGTCGGTTCTGCAGATTGTCACGTTTTGAAGCGGTATTTTGGGATATGCGCCGCTGAGGACTACAGCGAGAGCCCCGTGCTACAGACGCACATCGCGAGGCTGTGTTTTAAAAAAGGACAGCAGTGGAGGAAGGAGAAAAAAAACAGAAAACACGGACTACAGAAGGTGGCTTTGAAAGCATGGACTACTACGTGATGCCGACGGACAAGATACAGCCCTTACACCATTGCAAGAAGATGGAGAAGGACGTCATCGGGGGCCTCTGCAGGTGTGTAGCTGGCTATTTGTCCGCTGATACGGTTGAACCGCTCGCACAAATCCCCCCTCGTGTCGCCGCGGTGTGCACGGTGATGCAGCCTGACTTCAGTTAGCATGCTAGCTGTTAGCCGCGCCGCGGTACGTTGGCAGCAGCAGCAGCAGCAGCAGCGCGGTGTCCAGATGCCGCGGTTGGCGGCGAGGATACAGACGCCAGTTTAACTGGTGTCGTCCCGCCGCGCGGCCCGGTGACGTGTAATAACACAAAGGGGCACGTTTGCGGTCGTTCCGCGCAGAAATATGTAAATCGGCGCCGTGGAATCGATCCGTTTGCTTGCAGTGGATTCGTCAACCACGTGGTAGTTAACGTGCTGCCCGCCGCGCCGCCGCGGGACTGCGCGTTACAGACGCCCGGTCCTCTCCCCCCGCGGCCACTTCCCCCGAATTGCGTGTAATGTGTCCGTTGATGCATTTACAGCGACTACGTGAATTTTGGGGAAAGGGGGGCGGGTGTCGGCTTTGCTATGTGCGTAGCAGCCTGCGCCGCGTGCTAGCGTTAGCTTAGCACGGCTAACCAGTTAGCTGCCAGAACGCACGGGTTTTCTCCCCGAGTCGCGTGCACACGGACTCCACGCGTTGGAGTGAAACGTGTCGTCTCGTGTGTGTATGTATGTATGTGTGTGTGTGTGTGTGTGTGGGGGGGGGTGTATCTTCAACCCGTAGCAGCAGACCAGGGAGTAACTGCTAGCTTAGCGTGAACGGTAGAAAGCATTGTTCTCCGTGGTGCCAGGGGGCCTCCAGCAGCTGCTGCTGCAGGAGGAGGTGGTGGTGGAGGAGTCACATTTCACTGGTGCCGCCGTCCAGACGGTCCGACGCGCCCTCCGGCGGCCATGTTGGGGCTCCGCAGCCTCGCCGCGCAACAGCTGACTTCGCGCGTGAATAACAGCGGCATGCGTTTGTTGTTCCGCGCGGCGTCTGGTCGGATATCTGACGCACATTTGGTAAATGTGATGGTGGACTGCGGAGGTCGAGCGCACGGTTCGTGCATTGGACACCGACAGAAGACCGCACGTCCTCATCATGTGTCCCAATGGAAACCGGGACACCGCACTCTAGTACGATTTAGGGATAATAATTTCTTCCAATAAGCAATTTACGCCCTAAATATCAGTTTTTAAATAACCGTATACATTTTATATTATGAGATTTTCAAAATAAGACTAAACTGAGGAATTAAACCATACTTGTATTATATTTATACAATTTAAATGTTCACACACAAGATAATTTAATGAGGTGTGTTTTTGCGACCTTTTAATACTGTTTCATAAATGGACATTTTTAGTCGACTTGACTAGATATAGCTCTAAATAATAAAGACCACTTACACACTCTTCTTCTACAGGAAATGACTATTTAGATCTGTGTGCGCTCACTGTCTGACCTCCTTTTGTAGAAATCTTGGCACCATAATTGCCTTCAGCCACAGCGGTTCACGCATTTCTTCCCCCGAGTAAACGTGACGGCGATGGCTTTGCCACTATAACCTCCAAACTCGTGGCGTGGGTTGTGAGTGAGGGGTCAGCGAGTTCAGCCACAGAACTAGACCAGTGGGCCAAAGTGAGGAATGTGAGGTCGAGACTGAAACCTTGGAGAGATTAAAGGTTCAAGGAGTCTGTGTCAAAGATCCGCTCATTGCAATTTATTTTAACTTTAACAAATAAGAGCAGATTTGTTTATCTACAATACATATTTTCAATCAAACGATAACCAGCAGTCTTGTGCAATAGATGTTTCCATTGGTCACCTTTCTGTTTTGGCTGTATTTTATCACGTGCATCTGAGAGGAGCTCATGGCCTCTCATCTCTCTCCCCGTTGACCGTGGTCCCTCAGCTTGGCCAACATCCCCCTCAGCCCCGAGACGGCCCAGGACCAGGAGAGACGAATCCGCCGTGAGATCGCCAACAGCAACGAGCGCCGGCGCATGCAGAGCATCAACGCTGGTTTCCAGTCGCTCAAAACGCTCCTGCCCCAAGCAGACGGAGAGAAACTCAGCAAGGTGCAGAAAACGAGCAGACGCGGCGGTGCCGATCAGGACAACGTGCAGCGTACTTATACTCACCCTTTTTTCCGTCCCTGCCAGGCGGCCATCCTGCAGCAGACATCAGACTACATCTTTGCCTTGGAGCAGGAAAAGACGCAGCTGCTGGCACAGAACAACCACCTCAAGCGCTTTCTCCAGGTAAAATCCTGTGCCATTGTTTTTCATAGTAAATCTGTCTCATTTTATTTATATATGTTTATTTTATACCTCATCTATATCAAGCAGTAACAGTGTTCACCTGTTTCTATGACATGAAGTGGAAACCACAGAGACCGGGGCCACGTCGGTGGAATACGTAACGTCTAATGTTTAACACAGCGCTTAACCTCAAGCGGCCTCTGTGTCGATGCAGGACTTTAGCGGCTCGTCGCCCAAGAGGAGGCGAGTGGAGGAGAAGGACGAAGGGATCGGCTCTCCGGACACGCTGGAGGAGGAGAAGGTCGAGGAGGTGAGGAGGGAGCTGCTGGAGCTCCGACAGCAACTGGACAAGGAGCGCTCGGCTCGTATGCAGCTGGAGGAACAGGTGAGTCCGTGAAATCGTTCACTTCAGTAGCACGAGAGTATTGAGGCGCAACGGTGACTTGTATTCTGTCTCCACGGGGAATGAAGAAGACGAGCAATTGAATTTACTTCAATTCACCGACGTTTTTTGTAATTCTTCGTTCACGGAAGCATCCGAGAACAAATTGTTGCTTTAAGCTTTAGAGCAATACGTCTACCAACACATGGTGGATCAGAGAGGTTGATATCAGGGCGTTGAAATCATAACACCCCGATCGACTATTCGGTTGCACCAGCCAACATGTGGGACGGGGAAATAGTTATCAGTCACCTGAACTGTGTGGGGCCGGAAGGACCAGTTAGTTCCTCACAGGCTCACATCCTGGTTCTACCTGAATAGCCGGTAAAGACAATGGGGACTGAACAGGTGGTGAAGGACAAAAGTAAACAGCGTTGGAGATGCAGGGTTGAGATATTTACAAAGAGGCTCAATGGAGCTGGGCAGTAATTCAGTGTTTATCAAAGTATCATCAGTGTTGTAGTTGTATCGTTTAATCTGATTAATTCACAGTAGCGTTGATTGCTCTTTAATTCTGCAGGAGTCATTATTGGGATTGCCGATTATTTAAAGGCCCTCAGTGTGTTTTGAGTCGCTGAAGTTGTACTGAAATGTGCGCGTCCTGCGTGTAGGTGCGATCTCGGAACAACCAGCTGCTGCCGGACCGCCTGAAGGTGATCACTCAGCAGGTGGAGGAGGAGCAGGCGCTCCTCCAAAGTCAGACGCTGCTGCGACTGCAGCAGATCCACGCTGCCGACAGACAACCGCACAGTCCCCAGGTCAGAGACGCTCGCGCTTAAGACGGGGTGGGCGGCGGCTTGAGTTGAAGGCTTCTGAAGTGAGGCATTCTGGGAATTGGGCCCAAACCGGCGCGCGGTCTCGGCCGAGGTCACATTCTGTTCCGTCCTCCAGGTGCTGCCGTCTCCTGCCCCCACCCACCACCCCACGGTCATCGTACCGGCCCCGGCACTAACCCAGCACCCGCACCACCACACGGCCGCCAGCCCGGCCGCCACCAGCAGCACCGTGTCCACGTCCAGACAGAACCTGGACACTATTGTGCAGGTAGGAGACGCGTAGCCGGCAGCGGCTAAATGTCGCCGCGGAGTCATTCTCCCCCCCCACCCCTCCCCCATCCCCCCTCGGTGGACTGACTGTTTGCTTCGGCGTGTCTTTGCTCCGCCCCCCTCTCAGGCCATCCAGCACATCGAAGGCACTCGGAAGAGGAGAGCGAGCGCCGAGGAGGAGCAGAGACGAGCCGTCATCGTGAAGAACACCGCCTGCTCGGACACAGACACCGACACAGAGGGAGAGGACTGCTCGCTGAACTGATCTGACCCCCCCCCTCCTCCCCCACACCGCCCCTCCCTCCCTCCTCGTGGACTCGCATACACACACAAACACTTAAGATACCTACTCACTGTAAGATTCCCTCCAGGAGCTTGAATACTTAAAAAAAAAAAGAAAAAAAAATCTTTCTGAGGCATTATACAAACTAAATCCAGTGGTTAAGCTCTTTGTCAGTCTCGTACTGTAGAACCTGGGCTGGTCCGCGCTCAGAGGAGATTTCCCTCATGGGATTCTAAAGGCTGTTTTTCAATGTTTGGGCCGCTCCGCGGCTACTTGAAAACCCGGGTCTCCTCGTGTAAAAAAAAAAAAAAAAAAAGCTCTGCGCGTCAGTCCGTCCTTCTCGTGCGTCTGCATGACGCTGCGCAGAGTCGCAGCGTCACGCCGCTGACTGTCTTCACTGGCGCGCTGACAGTATTATTTGCGCGACAAATTGATGGCGTCAGTACAGCGGAGAGTTGAATGTAACAACACAATAAGCAAACGGCTCTTGAATCAGAAAAGGGATCTGGAGTCGCAGGTATTTCCTCCCCAGTCTTAATCGCTTTGTTCTTCTTTGTTTCCTGGTCGGCGAGGTGACGTTCTGCCGCCCGCGGCCACACAACCCAACTTAGACTACAACGGAAGGCATTTCTAAATTAAGAAGTTAGGGTGAAATTAAATTACAGAGTAAATTTGAGGAACGATGTTAAATGAAATTATGTCTGATTTACTTGAAGGAAGAAAAAAAAAAGGTTGTGTTTTTCATACCTGAATAAGCCCTTATAAAATAAGCTGTTGAACAATTGACATTAATCGTCTTTCAGTTTATTTGTTCTTCGTGTTCTTTTTAAAACGTTTTTTCCGCCAGGGTTACTGAATGTTGAAAGGTTAACATTTTGTTTTATTATGATTAAACACTTAAAATTGGAGGCGTTTCAGGATTTTACAGACAACCGGAGGCCTTGAGATGAATTTGATTTTAAATGGTCCTTTCTTTTCTCCTGGTGGTGTTTGTGTCACACCGCACTTATGAAAGGCTGTTTTTATAAAGTGGAACCAGATGTTTTCATATCTGGAAAACAAATCAATTTCAATTCTCCCATCAATGTCAGACAATTTGACTGAATAGAACGTTGTCCGTGCATACGAAAATCCGCAACGTTTGTTTGGTGTTTTCAATCTGAACCAGATTGAAACGCGCTCCCAGGCTCTTTGTTTTTACGAAGGCTTCCGGTTTCCCTCCACTCGATTTCAGTAACTATGCACTAGTTTTATGGTATTTATGCAATCCCATCTCCAGTACGCTACTCGTGTCATTCGTACGTGACGTGATCTATGCACCTACGTGCAGTGTGTACTTCACGCCCACAGTATGTGGTCTCTGCTCACATGGTGCTCTCTGTCAACACTTCACACTTGATCACGTTTATCACGTGTCAGAGTTATTCTCGTCTTGTTGGTTTTTTGTTTTTTAGATTTCCTTTTTGATTTTCCTGCAAACTGATACGCATCATTTCCACAGCTTGGTATTGCGTAGGGAGCAGGGAGGAGGAGATTTAGTGGGATCCTGCTCACGGGAAGACAAAGTAACGTTGCATGGTGAGCCGGCCACGTCCTACCCAACTCCAAACGAGAAGGAGTTCCCTGAGGAGAGGATCAGCTGCTTTAGTTGGAACATGCTGTCCTGTACAGTAGCTCAACGTACGCTTTCAGTGCATCGGATGACACAAGATGTGAAAGAACTGAATAGAAGATCTCTTCCCCCAATCTCCATGTTTTATTTTTTCTTTTTGTAAAATGCTCCACGTCTGTCCACCTCATGTTGTGTTGCTTATGTTTCCCGGGACTTTGACTGGAAATCCCTGCTCGGGGCCTCCTGTCCTGCTCAATTTGATACGCTGACTTGATGCTGTAAACATTCCTTTTTATTTTTATTTTGTATCGGTCTTTTGATCTCTTTTATATGTTCTGTTGCCAATTGAAATGCATGTTACTAATGGCTGTTTTCTTTTCTCTAAAGCTGGCTTTTGTTTTTTTTTACTGTTTTTTTTTTTTTTTTTTTTTTTCTTTTTTTTGCAGGTTTCTTTTTTTTCCATGAGCACACGACTGATGCGTTCCGTGTGAAACTGTCTTGGGTGAGATGTGCCGACATCATCCACTCGCTAAACTTCAGTTTTATATCTGGGTAGAATAGTATTTCTTGCGAAACACGGTGAGAAACTGCGACCTGTTCTTTGGGTAACTTGGTTCAAGGGTTTGTCGTTTTGTTGACACGTGGTGAACTACCAGCTGAGTTCAGGCGGAGGTGATTGGTCAGCTGAACACTTTCGCCCAAATGTTCCTGTACGTTGTGTTGCAGCACTGTTGTCTTTTGGTGGACTTTGAGATATTTGATATAAAGCACTTGCTGTTCTTTACTGCCTGAATCAATGATGAGGAAGAATTACTTTTTTTTTTTGCTATTTCTTTTTTTTGTAAACACTCAACGTTTTCTTGTTGTGTTCTGCTTTTCTGTCTTTCTGTCTTCATTTGTCTTTCTGTCTCTGGTTTGACCATTTTTGATGACCATCTTCTGTTTTTTATTATATTGTTTTTTTATTTTTCCCATCAGTCCAGATCGATGAGAAGCTGTTATATTTTTGTTTATAAAAAAAAAAAAAACTTGGGTAAACAGGCCTTTGTAAAGACGAAAAAAAATAAAATTTGTACCTTTTTTATTACACCCTTCTGCTTCCTCTGCTTTACCTAAACGCTGCATGATGTGCACTTCTTTGTCCAACAGGAGGCGACACTGAGACTCTCGCAGCAGCAGCACTTTTTGATGAACACTGTTAACAACCGGGGCCTTTTCTAAATCTCATTTTCAGACTAGATACAATCACTAAAGACAGATGGCTGCAAACGGTGTGCGTTTGAAATATAACACCGTATTTGAACGCGGCCAAAGAACGCCATAAATCCACTTCTGGATTGAAATCTGCATGTACAGATAGTCATAAAAACCTAAGACTCTACTCATCAGGTGGTGAAACTACAGCACGATCAGCATGTTTTTTTTTTTTTTTTTTGCTCTAATCATTCCTGATGGGGCCGGGCAGCTGCTGGGACACACAATGGCTGACATGGCTGCAGTTTCTCCACCGGCGTGCCCTCTGACCTTCAGCCGGAGCCGTATATAACGGCGGGGGAGATGAGGGGACGGCCCCTGCCGACCGAAATGAAGGCTGCGCTGTCTGTGTGCGGCGTGCTGTGTCTGCTGGCCCTGTGTGCCGCAGGTAAGGCTGAGGGCGTGAGTTTGTCCCGCGTGTTTAAAATGGTCTCGGTGATTCGTTCTGGATTTCTTTAACCAGGTGTAGAGTGTGTGTGTGTGTGTGTGTGTGGGTGGAATGGAAAGGCAGAACAACTCGCTCAGTGTCTGAACGTGTCGGAGCGTTGTACGTCTGGCTGAGAGTTGACTGGGGATCCTTTTAGCGCTCAATAAGGAAGGAAAGTTTTAGAGGAAGTATGTTTTATTGAGTTTGGATGAGTTGAACTAAATGAAAAATGACATTGAAGATTGATCATCTTCCTGCCAGCTGTGTTGAAATATGTTCCAAAGCTTCCCTGACATCTGTACTAATCACAGCACACGTTGCTCGGCCGATTGGGCCGGAAACGTGTGTTGTGTGTTACCCTGGAGCTTGTGTTTATACAAATGAAAAGGTCGGAGCTAAGGTCCCACTGGCCGATGGACAGTGTCCTCTCTGCAGGGACGGCTGTGAGGATTTTGGCCTTTTACAGATGCTTGATGTTTTACAAGCTTTACACACGTCCAAATGAATGAATACATTTTTTTATGCTAAGAAAACCTGAGGTGACGTTTGCGTGTACACACTGCACACTCGGCCTGTCCACACATTTTACAGCTAAAGACGAGGCACCCATGTCCTCGTCCTTCCCCTGGTTCATTTCGACCTCTGCAATGTGCTGCAGTCCGTCCGACAAAGTCACTGGATACCGCGGGCGAGTCACTGATACACATCCCCCTCAGGACGCTCAACAACGCACGCACCGCTTCACGTCCACGAGAAGACTCACGGGTGTTCAATCTTACAAACACCCTGCACGTCTACAGCTGAAGTCGGTGCTGCAGCGAATGTCTCAATAAAGCGTCCCCCCCCCCCCACTCCCCTCCTCTCAGTCTGCTCTGTCCGCAGAGCTGCTAATCTGTCATTCCAGTCAGCGGCGTGAGTGTCCAGGGGATGTCCCGGCTAAAAGAGGCACGAGCGAGCAAACCAGAGGGCATGCCGCACTAGAAGTTCAACATGCCCCCAATGCTGAACAGTTTCAAGTTACAAGAACCTTTTCAAACATTAATGAAATGGAAATATATCAAAGTAATGATTCCCCCAACGTGCACATGATGCTTTTTGATTTGTGTGAGCGTGGGGCTCAATCTCCATTGTACGAATATATATGCTGATTTACTCAAGACGAGCCCGGCGTGCAAAGCCACTGCTGACACGCTCCCTCATGTTCCCGCCGACTCTCGCCTGAAGCTCTGATGACCAATTAAAGCCTATTGAAGGAGCGTTCGTCGAGGCTTGGTTGGAGTCACTCTTGCAGTAAGCAGGGTGCATGAACACGGTGCAGTTACTGTTCTGGCTCTCTGAGCAGCTACTGAGACACCGTTGCAGGGAAGGTGAGCAACAGGGCAGGAGATTAGCTGGCTCGCCTCAAACACAATTACAGGGAGAAGTGGAGCGCCGCACTTCACTGGAAATAGAAGTGGAATTATCCGGCCTTCTTTTCACCCTCTGACTCATTGCGGGGCTATTTGTGTCTCAAAGATGTACCGTCCAGCACCCAGGCACCTGTCCCCCTCTGTCCCCGCGACGGTGCGCTACGAGCCCCCAGGCTTTAGTGCAGCAACAGCTGGGCGGGGGAATCACGAGAGAGACACAATGCCCCCCCACACACACTCTGGCAGTGGGGGAAGCAGTAAAAAACAATTTTGCAGTCTACAATCCACTGTTGATGAAAAATGTGCAGAATTTGGGATGTGCACACTGTGACTTTGAGATGATTAAGTAATAGTTCAGGACAACGTTAGCTGCATGTAAATGATTACACAGCATTCAGTACATTTTGGCTTTAAAATTGTATGTTGTATAGGATCAGCAGACCGTTTGAGACTAGCTGGTGAATTTAGTGGAGCATTTAGCAGCTAAAGCCAGATGTTTATCTCAGGTGAGATGAGAAAGATGGAAACGTGGTGATGCTGCAGGACTACTATATTTATCTTCAGACAGCCTAAACGTCGTAGAGCTGTTGTGTGTGCAGGACTATATATTGTTTTCATATATAGGATTATTGTGATTTTGGGACCTTACCTTTAATTCTGATTATCCAAGCACTGGTGCCCATCGGTTTCACTTGTTGTTCACACTGTGTGACCGGTTTGCACGCAGTGTGAACGCTTGGGAAAGTTCAGCTTCATGTTCTGTGGTCACCGAAGCTGCCAAACCCTTCAGGAGGTGACAGACAAAGCTTCCAGATACACAGGGTGACGTAAACTAAAGTAAAACTATGAGAATAAAATGGATGGTTAGTAATTCAGGCCCTGAAATAAAACTTAAAAAGCCGTCATGGAGGATGATGCGGGAAGAGTACACTGACAGCGTCATTTAGGATAGCAAGATGAACATTAAGCCTTCCAAATAACCTTAAATGTAAATGCATCTGGACTCAGAAGCGGTTGATCCCAGTTTGGCAGACGCAGATTCGAGGCTTCACATTAGTGCTTTCACATCCACATTTAAAACATGAAGCAGCTGATAGCCAACCTTGTCATGTCATGTGAGCATAGTAGTAGCTTATTTTTAGCTTCAGATTGCGGTGTAGCATCCCGCAAAACCCAACACGTCATGGCATCAGCCTAATAATAGAAGGGAATTAATATTCAAGCTGTTGGCTTAGAACCTTTCCACAGCAGTCATTTTGAAATGTCATTGGACAGGTGTAACTTGTGTCACTAGTGAGATGGTTTAGGATGACAGTACCCGGACCCTGAAGCTGGGGGGCCTAAATGAAGAAAAGTCATTACTTATTCTATTCAGGCTTTTCTTTGATGTAACAGGATGATACGGTTACCATTAAAAGAGATTTGTTGGTATTGCTACTGCCCTTTTCTGTGACGAACAGAAAAGCTGAAAAAACAACAACTTTATTTCGGTCTCTTGTTGACTCGCCTCTGATGTGTTTTTCCCATTTAAGTAAAACCCACCCAGCTAAAGCCCATCCAGGACATGGGGCATTTGCACCTGTTGGCTGATTAGACCTCTAAGCTTTGGGAGTGAACGAGGTGTGACACATCCCTCATTCGTCTGTTGGGCCGGGACGCCTCACCTGGTTTTCCTTCTTATTGGTGAAGTCATTAATAAAAACTGTGTGTGGGTGCCGGGACGTTAAAGATTCAGGACGTTGGTTAGCGGTTAGGGTTAGTTGATGGAACTTTTGGTTACACAACAACATTACAGCTATTCTCAGTGTACTTATGTGTAAATTGGATTTTGTTTAATTGAGATCAATTCTCTATGAAATGGGGGGTAACAGGGAAGTGGTGAACCTACAGAGAATCATTCACAAAATCTGGAGATCCCATCGGATTCGCAGAGCGTTGCAGTAGATTTCAGCTCATTGTTTTGCTGTCAGGCTGTTTTTTTTAATGCTTTGATCGACTCTCACCGCTTCCGGTGTGATTTTTCCACCTCAAAGGCTGCTTTTTGTTAGCGAAAGAGCTCTACGAAACCACATCACACCACCAGCTCAGCGCCAAAAGGCAGACGGACACAATTCGCAGCTAGTTGGTGAATTTATACCATTTAACAGCTAAAGAGACGTGACATATAATGTCAGGTAAATTGTCATAAAGTGACATATAATGTTGGACACTAAATGAATGATAAAGTTGCTCCGTAACCACTGGATGTGTAGATAATCAGCCTTTATTTTAAAAGCTGTTGGAACTCAATGATGTGTTCCCAACTTGTTTCTGCTGCCTAGAAGTGACTAAGATGAGTGATTGCAGGTTTAAGGCTGAGGAACGCGTGGTTGTACACTATGTGGTACGGGGCAGCTAGATGTATGTCCAGTTCATGTTACATGAAGGGGTCGGCGTGCTGGATGAAGACCAGCTGTCACCGCCGTTACATGATAATAGGGCTTCTGGATCATGAGCAATCAGGAGGCTAATGCTAAGGAATAAGCTAACGCGATGATAGCTTTATATACATGCACTTAAGACAGTTAAGATGAAATAGAGGTCGCGTTGCACACTTTGGCTGGAAACAGTACAATGTACGTTGAGTTCACAGGTTTAGCCGTGAAGTTTCAAAGCCAAAGCAACTATAATCTACTGCACCATGCTGACAGATGGTGATAATTGTCTTGTTCTATTGAGGAAACTTGGTCCCAACGATATATCATACATTTGTTTTATGTCTTTACCGTTTGTTGTTTTCTGGGCAAGAAACAAAATTCTTTAAAAGTAATATATTTTTATGGATTAAGACAGTGATAAATTAAAGCAACAACAATAAATACATTATTCTATTCCGAGTCGCCCCGTCAACTCAGCCGTATTCTCATAGGTCCACCACACAACTGTAATGCAACTGTCCACCGTGTGTCTGCTTCAAATAGTCCTCTTTAGTGTCTCCCTACAAGGAGCTGAAATGTGAGTCTTAAATCTGCGAGGTGTTGAACATCTGATCTGCTCTCGTCTTGACCAGTGACTGAGCACGGGTCAAACACCGATGCAACAGACAAAGGTCTGCGTGCCTGGCTAGATGGTGCGGCCTGATTGGTCAGTTTATCTCCCAACGCCTTCCATTGAAGAGTTAGTGATGAATAGTACTCTGGTCAGGGAGGAATTAAACTTTTTTTAACCAAATATCATGTTTGACTCATGCATTCAATGTTGTTTGGAAAGCGACACCAGCCCAGAGTTCTGTGCTCTCACCACATATGTCCTCCTCTTAGATCTTCTGACCGGACCCTCCGCCCACGATGAGGATCCGCTGGTGCGTCTGCAGCTCCAGCAGCCTGAAGGAGATCCCTTCTCCTGTGGATGTGATGCAACAGAGGAGCACGCAAGCCAGAGCTCCTCCAACGACACCCCAGCCCCAGAGAGGGCCATATGCCAGCCCTGCAAACCTCCATCGGCTGTGGATACTGAGGCAGGTTCTGCTTTGACCTCGGAGCATGAAGAGGAGGAGGCAGCTTCTGTGGAGGAGGAGGCTCCCACTGAGGAAATTACAAGTGATGGAGAGAAAGAGGCTCTTCCTGTACCTCAGGAAGAGCTAGAAGAAGAGGAAGGGACATCTGAGGAGAAGCCTGATGATCTAGGTGTGGAAGAGGAGGAAGTATATGAGGAGGTTGAGATGTCTGAAGAGGAGAAAATAAAGCAAGGCGAGGCAGAAGCAGAGGAGGAATTATCCAATGAGGAAGAAGACGTGACTGAACCTCAGGAAGAAGTTGCAGAGGTGAATGAAGCTGCTAATGAAGAAGAAGCAGCTGAGGAACCAGAAGGTGAAGACACACAGGACGATACAGAGACAACCGCTGAGGAGGCTGATGTGGAAATCCCCATTCACAAGGCTGTAGAGGAGGAAGCCCTTGAAGACGATGTCCAGGAGCTGACGGTGGAGGAGGTGGTGGTGGTGGAGGCCCTTGACGATGTCCAGGAGGTGGCGGTGGAGGAGGCACCTGTCGTTGTCGAGGAGGTGGTGGTGGAGGAGGCTCCTGTCGAGGAGGTGGCGGTGGACGAGGCACCTGTCGTTGTCGAGGAGGTGGTGGTGGAGGACGCTCCTGTCGAGGAGGTGGCGGTGGACGAGGCACCTGTCGATGTCGAGGAGGTGATGGTGGAGGAGGCCCCTGTCGATGTGGAGGAGCTGACGGTGGAGGAGGCACCTGTCAATGTGGTGGAGGAGGAGATGGTGGTGGAGGAGGCCCCTGTCGATGTGGAGGAGCTGACGGTGGAGGAGGCACCTGTCAATGTGGTGGAGGAGGAGGTGGTGGAGGAAGCCCCCTGTCGATGTGGTGGAGGAGGAGGTGGTGATGGAGGAGGCTCATGTTGGTGTGGATGAGCTGACGGTGGAGGAGGCCCCTGTCGATGTGGTGGTGGAGGAGGAGGTGGTGATGGAGGAGGCCCATGTTGGTGTGGATGAGCTGACGGTGGAGGAGGCCCCTGTCGATGTGGTGGAGGAGGAGGTGGTGATGGAGGAGGCCCATGTTGTTGTGGATGAGGTGACGGTGGAGGAAGCCCCTGTCGATGTGGAGGAGGTGACTGTGAAGGAGGCCCACGTTGGTGTGGAGGAGGTGAAGGTGGAGGAGGCCCATGTTGGTGTGGAGGAGGTGACGGTGGAGGAGGCCCCTGTCGATGTGGAGGAGGTGACGGTGGAGGAGATGTCTTCAGGAGAGCCTGCACCGTCAAAAACCAACACAGGTACAAAATGAAATCTACAAAGTGCAACTCTCCTTCCCCCTTTAAACAAAAAGCTGTATGAGAAGGTGACGTATCAGAAGGTGACGTATCAGAAGGTGACGTATGTCTCCTCATGGACACCACCCTCTTCATTGTGTCGGTACGAGCACTGCAGGGATCCTGTGACAGTAAATCTCTGCCCATCAGTCGCTCCTCCTGTAGTTAAGGAAACCTGCTTTTATCTGATGCCTGGCTGTTGACACGTGCTCTGAATGATGACAGGGTCTTAAAGGAGATCCCCATCTACTACTCTCTCCATCACTTCATTACACTTGTGTGTGATCTCTTTGAACTTCAGATATCCACAGCAACTGATTCCAACAGCCGGTTAAAAGTCCTGCGACACAGTTTTGACACGATTACTGTTCTGTCTTTTTTGTTTTTGTAATTATATCCTGAGAGTTTAGGATGACAAAGCTAAATACTGAGATGATATATTAAGAAATCATTACGCAGAAAAACTTAACAATGAAGAGTGATCTTGAGATAGAAAAGTAAGACAAAAAAGTAAAGCAATAACTCACAGGGAGATGAGATACCGCAGTAAAGAATAGTGACAAAAATATATTTTTTGAAAGATCCATCAAATTCCTGAATTTCAAAAGAATTTGGAGACATTTCATCATTGTACCTGATGTCTGAGGATTTTAACAACGGTCTAATAAGCCTCACTATCAGTTGCTTCTTATATCTAATTAATGGCTTTTCAATGGTTGATAATCCTTCATAAATGTTTCATGAGCAATAAAGGTCCATTGAAGAGGACAGGTTCCGGCTTGCCACCTTGTGAAAACCCTTTTCGGCTGCTGTTTTTCCTCATCTAGTACAACTTGCTTTGTCTTCAGATAAGCACCTTGAGGACAACTCAAAAACGTTCCCTTTAGAAATAAGCCACCGGACATCCAGACTGACATTTATTTATTATTAACGTCTAACAGAGTATAAACACCAGCCTGAGGGATTGTAGACAACCTGTCAATGGTTAATTATTTAAAAGTTGTTCATATGTGAACATGTAAGGGGAAGGTTTGCTTAGTTAAAAAGTGTTAGCAAATGATGACTACTTTGGCATTTATCTGAGAGGGGTTGTGAATGACAGCAAAGGTCTCTGTCTTTCTGTCTGAGGCATGCAGAGCCCACTGGATGTGACGCAGTGCATCGCTAAAGGGGAATTCGCAACAACCTCTGGTACTGAAATAAACAAACCAAAATAGCAGAGGAAAGGAATAGATGGACAACAGCGTGATATAACAGTGGGGCCGGTACTCGCCCCCACATGGTCTTGTCAATCACAGCCCAGGAGACCATTTACATGTGGGAACACTTTTATTTTCAGGCATGTCAAATAGGTTTTTACTATTTGGATGAGAGGACGTGGTTCATTTGACAGACTTTGCCGAAAACGGTAAAGTTGCAGATTAAGCATTACTTCACAGGTGAATTAACGGTTGCCTTAACTCTCTAATCCTCCAATCAGAACATCAGGCACCAGGCCCGACACTGAGGGACCGCTCCCACATTGAGGACACGCTGCGATTGGCTACTTCCGAACCCTCAACAGAGCTCTCAGGTGAGCATCAGAGTCAAAGACAAGCCATTCACACACATTTGCTACATGCACAGGTGGAAAACCACATGTCGCTGATCACAGATAGTATGCTCATTGACAAACGCTGCCCACGTTTTAAATGTCCCTCAGAGCTTCGCCATGGAAACGGCTGTACTTCTGTATTGAAAGGAAGGTTGTTTACAGCAACATTGTCAATGGAAAAGAAAAACAGATGTGTTTGCATGAGAATGAAAGGAAGTTTGAGACAATTTGGGGGGATTTTCTGCAGAAACGAGACTGAAAATTGCTTCATGATGTCGAGGTCCCGGGGCTGTTGTGTGTGAGTGTGTGTACTGTTTCCATGTGTGTATGTGTGTGAGCGTGCAGACACGTCTTGAGGCAGGTGATTAATCACAGCAAATGTGTAACTCTGTCCTCGGCCATGAAAGCCTCTCTGTTCTCCTGAAGAAGACTGGTTCATTTCAAAGTGCTGCAGCGGAGCCGGTCTTCTAATCACCTCGGCTCGATTCAATAAACTTTATAAGGGAAATTCGTCATGCGCTGCCAAAGGAACCGTTGTAATCAGCAGTGGTAGCAAGAGCATTAATAACAATCTTGTGCGAAATGTCTTCTCGCCATTACATCTCAATTAATACACCCAACATTCTCTCTCTCTCTCTCTCTAGCTTCTATGAAGAAGCTGCTGAACATCTACCACACTGCCATCAAGCCAATGGAGCAGGCCTACAAGTACAACGAGCTCAGGCAGCATGAAGTCACAGGTAAACCAGCTTCCCGTCTGAGATTAACCGTGGATGGAACAGCACTCTGCCTCCTGAGCCACATCCACACCAGTAGCCCGCTCGCATGGGCAACGGTCACAGTGGCTGTCAAGGATTTGAAGGCCCACGAGGCCGAAGCATTCATGTAAAACGAGAAGGTAATTTAGACAACATTGACAGCTCCTTAATTAATGAACTCAGGTCTCACAAAACTTGAGAACCACAAATAAAGTCGTGATTAAAAAGAAATAGAGCCAGGAACTGACATTATTTAAACCAGGCGCACAGGGAAGCACAATAAGGACTCTGTCTGCCGAAAGTTAAAGGGGATGTTGTGCTCCCTACAACTTTGTTCCATTGCACTTGAGGGCATGGAGTATTATGTATGCTGAGGAGCAGGAGGAGGTCTTCACACTGTGGCATGTGACTCTGGGACCCCTTGTGGAGCCGGATGGAAAGATTCCTACAGGACTGTCAGGGATCACAAATGTGTTCAGGACATTTCCTTTCAGCCTGCCCATCTGATTTGGTTATTTACTGTGTGCTTGTGTGAATGTTGAAAGCAAGATGACACAGGACAATTAGGGCCAATTGCAAAACGTTTTAATGTGAGGGGAATGTTCCTGCAAAACCGTATTCTGAGATAAACTGAAGCTAAATTTATTTTATTTGTTTCTGTCTCAAATCATTTCCTTGTCTACTTTTCTTCATCAAAAACTGTGTAGATGGAGAGATCACCTCCAAGCCCATGGTTCTGTTCCTGGGACCATGGAGTGTCGGCAAGTCCTCCATGATCAACTACCTGCTGGGTCTTCACGGCACCTCACAGGAACTCTACACAGGTTCACACGGATATTATCTGGTTATAATGACAGTAGACCAGAGAGCTGATGAAGCTTCATAATCATATGAATGTAATATATTCACTATTGTTTACTCTAATATCTAAAATACTTTAATTTCAATTTAACTCATACATGGGCGACAATTTCAATTTCCAATATCTTAATAGGTATTCTTGTCAGGGGAACTGACTGAAAGCAGAACATAGGAAACAGTAAACGTGTCTCCTAGTGATGTAGCTTGTGTTTTCATTTTACAATGTTTATCTGCTAAAGCAGCAACACACAGTAACTCACAGGAGACGCGTGGAGTCAGCCAAGGGATGCTGCCGAAGTAATAACATTCATCTAAAGTTAGCTAACATTAGCCACCGTGTGCTACCGGTCACACCAAACAAGACAGCAACAAAGCCCATAAATACATTTCATTGAAGAAGAGCGTGTTTTTGTTGGTGTCAAATAAAAAAAGTTGTATCTAAGAGAAAGAATATGTGATCTGATATCCAAATCATCATTACTGCTAAGTTTAGTTGGGGCAAAATTGCAACCAAATGAAGCATGTATTTATTTCATTTTTTATAAGAGTGACTTTTAAAGTATTATTGTATGTTTACAAAATGTATCAGACAGAAATGAACTGACCAACAACCAATCAATGAGTTTCAACCCAGCAGAGCCAACGGTGTTAAATCACCATCCCTTCACCCTTCCCCCAGGTGCGGAGCCCACTACCTCAGAGTACACCGTCATAATGAACGGTGAGAAGTTTCGGTCCATAGAGGGCATCGTCATGGCAGCAGACAGCTCCAGGTCCTTCTCTCCCCTGGAGAAGTTTGGCCAAGGCTTCCTGGAGCGGCTGGTGGGCATCGAGATGCCCCACAAGCTGCTGGAGAGGGTCACCTTTGTCGACACGCCCGGCGTCATTGAAAACCGCAAGCAGCAGGAGAGAGGTGACTAACAACGCGTTTCTATGCCAAAGCCACAGACTACTATTAGAGTAGTGAACCGCAACAATATCTGCAACAACGAACCAACATTAGATGACATAACAATGTGTTAATACAAATGCGTAAAACGTAAAAATGTAAAAAAACAAATGAAAAACAGTATTGTGGTCTGTGCTCTTCCTCAGGTTACCCCTACAACGAGGTGTGCCAGTGGTTCATCGATCGAGCGGATCTGATCTTCCAGGTGTTCGACCCCACCAAGCTGGACGTGGGCGGGGAGCTGGAGATGCTGTTCAGGCAGATGAAGGGCCGCGAGTCCCAGATTCGCCTCATCCTCAACAAAGCCGACAGTCTTTCCACCCAGAACCTGATGAGGGTCTACGGGGCCCTGTTCTGGAGCATGGCGCCCCTCATCAACGTCACAGAGCCCCCTCGGGTGTACGTCAGCTCCTTCTGGCCTCAGGACTACGCCGCGGACACCAGCCGAGAGCTGTTCATGAAGGAGGAGACCTCTCTGCTGGAGGACCTCAACCAGGCATGATATCACTTCTTCTTCGCTCGTCTTTGTGGAAAGTAGGCTTGAACGCACATGAGTGGATCAGGAAACTGCTTTAAACGGCAGCTCCCTCCCCTGATTCTAAAGAGTCCGTTGTACCCGTGAGGTCCCTGAGAAAAGCGTTTGATCCTAAATAAAGAAAATTGTGGCCTAAGGTTGCCAAACACTTTACACATCGTGACCAGTTCGTCTCTTCTCATTTCGGACTCTGTCCTCCGCTGCAGGTGATTGAGAACCAAATGGAGAACAAGATTGCGTTCATCCGCCAGCATGGCATCCGCGTGCGCATCCACGCCCTGCTGGTCGACCGCTACCTCCAGACCTACTACGACAAGCTGGGCTGGTTCAGCGACCCCTCCGAGGTGTTCCGAGACATCGTGGACGACCCGGACAAGTACTACATCTTCAAATCCATCCTGGCCAAAACCAACGTGAGCAAGTTCGACCTGCCCAACAAGGAGGCCTACCAGGACTTCTTTGGCGTGAACCCGGTTTCCAGCTTCAAGCAGCTCTCCTCCCACTGCAGCTGGACCGGCGGCTGCCTACTGGAGAAGATCGAGAGGGCCATCTCGCACGAGCTCCCGGCCCTGCTCGGCAGCGTCAGCAGGGCCGCGGACGCGCCGGCACCGGCGAAGGCCGCACCGCCACCTCCGCCGCCGCTCCCCGGCACCTGCGAGGGTCCCGGGTGCCAGGAGAAACCCAAGAACCGCTGGAGGAGTCAGTGAGACGGAGGAGGAGGAGGAGGAACAGAGGAGGCAGATGGCGGCAGCAACAAGAGGGCTTCCTGAAATGATCCTCACCGCTGAGGTTTTTCAGAACTGGGTACGGAGCGACTGAGTCGGAACATGTGCAACGATGTACCAAGCAGACCTGTGTTCGTTTTTACTACAGTTGGAAATCAACTTTCCATCGGACGCCTTTCCGAGCTGCAGGAATTGTCTGCAAGAGAAACATCCGAGTCGTCGTTATGCTACGTAGCCTTGTAACCGTTCATGTAAATGAAATCTGAGACTGACCTTTTCTGGTTTCCTCACGCGGTTCAAGTTTGTACATTATTTATTAATTGAAGTTTTCTGCTTCAGAGAAAGATGCCGGCAGCGATTGCTCCTCCAATGTAGTGCAGTTAAATTCAAACCGCTGTGCTGTGTTTTTACTGTAAACCGTTGTTATTGCGTCTGGAAGCTTATTTTCAATGGTGACACAACGAAGTAGAAAGGAGGGTTTTCTCTTAGTGTTCTATTGAGCATGGACTCAACCACGTTTGATCGCTGTACTGTGATGTACTGTTGGATACTGTATTGTCCTCTCTCTATTATTACGGAAGCACATTTTATTTCAAAATACGTCGGTGCTGCACTAGGATTGATTTGACTGAATGCAACAACATCAGTTAATCGTAGCTTTCCGTTCATCTGCGCTTGTATTTAATGCTTTGTCAGCCCTCTGAACTGTCTTACCTCAACATGGGTGCATTTCCTTTAAAAATGTAATGTCATTATTCCTTTAGGTTTGTCTGTACTTGTCATCCTTTTGAGTAAACAACTAAATTAAAAAACTACACACTTGGTCTCCTTTTTATGGATATGAAGACATTACAGATTAGGAGCCCTCCACTGACACAGCAAAGGGAGCATTTGGAAATGATGGTCCCAAAGCAGGAGCTCTCATCCTCACGACACGCTGCTGCGCAGTGAAAAAAATCACAGACTTTGTTCACACATTGTATGAATGAGAAACATGAATACATGTGTAACTGCTGGGTGAGCACACATTAGTACAACAAATGCTGCAATGGGATAGCGGGTTATTATCCCCTGCAGGGACCAAAGAAAGCCACCAGGAGGCGCCGCAATTATGTGTCAGTCGCACTGACTGCGTAGCAGAGAGCGAGGAGAAAGGAAGCTGCGTTTCTTCATATAGGCTGGATTGTTGATGCAGGTTAGAAGAGAAAACAAAATGGAGAAACAAAAAATCTCCATTAGGATAACAGGAGGAGGATGCAGATTCATATTTGTCTCTGCTGATAGTTAGCCATCATTACGTCTTGTTATAATCTCTGTTGTAATAAAATAGCTGTGTGTGTGTGTGTGTGTGTGTGTGTGTGTGTGTGTGTGTGTGTGTGTGTGTGTGTGTGTGTGTGTGTGTGTGTGTGTGTACAGTGGTGGCTTGTAGTTCTTTGGACTAATATCAAGCAGATACCCATAAACTTATTTAGACTTATTCTCAGTCCCCCCCCAACACACACACCGCGTTCGCTTTAAGTTAATATAAACATGTGATTGACACACAGCAATAAGCTCATTATATTTTGGTTGAAGCCCTTAGAATGATGTTTGAATGCCTGAATTATTTTAGCAGCTTTGTTCATATTTAGAATTAGATGGAATAGAAAAAAAATAGAAAATAACGATTACTTAAAAAGTCTAAACGTTGTCAGAAGCAATTTGAATAAAAGTATAATTAGTGCTTTTTACCATTATTTAAATTTAACCCAGTCTGGGTTTTGCACCAGGAAATAGGTCTGAAGTATTTGGGATGAACGGTTTCAAACTACAAATAGTTCAATGGCATCTAATGGTAAGCATGTGCTGGATGGGTGTTATATTGTACGTGTAAATAAACTGTGTAAAGCTGTGTTTGCATGCAGTAATACACTAACACAAGCCTAGTAAAACAGTTTTTTACACCAGCATGACGGATGATGTTTTCGTGGACCAATATCACCCCCAGTGGGGAAGACATCTGCATTTGGCTTTTCCAATGACTTCCTTTAACCCCACTCAAGACATTTTCTAAGGCTCTCTCATAACTGTCATCTGGTGAGCGTACAGTGACATAAATATTCTGAAAAGCTCTGAAATATTCATAAATAGTCCATCATTATGTCTGTCCATTTGTTGGTTTTCCCTAAGTGGGTCAACATAATGTATAAGGATAATTAGCCATTTTACCTTTTCAGTTCAGCGTTTAGTTAAGAGTGTGACATTTGTTTGCCACAGAGGTGCTTTGAACTAAATGTTGTGCTTGGGCTGATGGGAATGTCCTTCACCTTTGCTGGTAACTGGTTGTAAAACTTAGTATTAAATAAATGTCGTACACACTGCAATCCGTAATGTAAACTGTGTGGTGGCACTAGAGCAAAACTTAAAGAGCCATCAAATTCCTCTGAGCACCACAAACTCGTGTATACATTTTCATTAAAAATTCCATTGCCACGTCTAAAGACCCCGTTTGTTAATACAAAAACAACAACACGCTGGTGATACTGCACGTGGGCTTTTTCAAGAAAATTGGACACACATAAAAAAAAAAAGGCCTAGTTGTTTAATATGAGATGAATTCAAACTATTTATCTCCATATACTTTGGCAGCTTGGGTCCTCACTGGTGCTTCTTCCGGCGGGTGTCCTGCTGCTGACCCCGAGCTCCAAGGCAAGGAGTTGCTTTGTGTCACCTGACGCAGGGCACGAACACACCTGTGCATGTGCAACACGTGCTAAAGGTGTAAATGTTCAGTGTCCTATCTGTGTTTGCTGAGTTCACCGGAGGTTTGAGGAACAATGTTAGCACGGACTTATCAGTGCAGCTTTATCAACTGTTCAAACAGACCTCTTGTAAGCTCTCGAGCATAAGTATGCACAGTCACACGCCTCCCTCATACCACATACACACACATACACATGCACACACTCAGTCACCAGAATGGTGCAAAGAGGCTTATTGCTTTATTGGATTCAAAGTTTAAACATTAAGGCTCCTTCCAAGGTAGAGTCCACAAACATATTGTTATTCATTGATGTTCACAGCGTCGGCGCTACAAGCCAGCTGAAGGTAGGGTGTCCATCCATGCTGTCACGTGATGTGTTATTGTTGTTGTTGTTGCTGGGCTCATCCCTGTGTCCCCAGTGTCTACTCGGGTGCTGCTCTTTTTCCCTGCTTGCCAGCTGCAGCGGATGAGCGAGCACAGCTGTGCGCGATGCCCGATTGGTGCCACAGGGGTTATAAGGAGGGCAGATGCAGACTGCCGTTTTGGACAGTCGAGCAAGCTGTGTGCTAGTTGTTGTAGCAGCAGTGTGCTGTTGTTGAGTCTCCTTTCCCTGGAGGAATTTTAACATTGTTACAACATGCAACCCTTTGGCCTCGAAAGAGCTGCATAGCTCATGCAAACCACCTTATTGAGCATCATTTTTTGTATTTTTTTCTATTGATTTGCCAACTGAAAAGCTCCTTTCATGCACCTTTATTTTTTTACATTCTATGCTTTTTGCAATTCAGAAATCTGCGAGTGATTTTGAGCCCCGTTAGAAAGTATCCTATCCTAGGATAACTATCCCCCCTCGAGATAACTTGATAAACACCATCAGAAAAGATTAAAGGTGCGATGAATGAATGCATCTTTTTAATGTCAATTAGAAGGTAGTGAAACCAAAAAAATGTTTAGTTTGAATTGTTTAAATTTATTCAAACGGCTATAATAATAATAGTAATTGAATTGAATGCCCTGTACCGTACTTCACTACTTTAGGACAAACAAATATGTATTTATATTTACATTGGTAGCAGTATGTCGAGGGTTGGTCAAAAGGTTTCCCTAAACTCAACACTCCCCGTATGAATAAGTGTGTGTCATGCTGCATTTAGGGGGCCATTTAGAAACAACCAGGACCTCTGAAATAATATCTGTAAAATAATCTAAATCTCATACTTAGGGCTCGATTGCACCTGATAAAACATTTTACCCCAACTTTAGTGTGTGAAGATACACACTCAAAAAAATGACTCGTTGGCTTTACTTAAAAAAATCATGGAAAGGATTTCCACAGGATTAAATTGGTTTCGTTACTCTAACACTATGTTATTGTGTTGGGTTAATATAGTTTAGTAGAGTTGAATTGATATGAATGGTTTAATCACTTTCAACTAGATTTAGTTAAGTTAGATTTAGTTAAGTTAGTTGAACTTAATTTAATGAGATCAAATTAAATGCATTTAACCTATTAATTCACATTAACCTAACTCAATAGAATTGAGTTGGCCGAACTTAACTTCTTAAAGAAAGCCATTTAATCAAATGGAAATCCTTTCCATGATTTTATTAAGTTAAGTCAAAGAATAAATATTAAGTGCAAAAAATGACAACAACACAAATAAAGAAACCTTGTATTATGTGGTTGAGGCAAGTTTATCCACAGGTCATTCAAGCTGACACTTTTATCCAAAGCGACTTGCATTTACATTACATGTCATTGAAGTTGACGCATTTGCATTGCATTAGATGGTTTACATTTTTAAGGTATGGTTTACATGTACAACCCATCCCACACAGTGGGAGCAGTTAGGGGTTGGGTGTCTTTCTCAAGTACACTTCCCAGCGCACCTCCTGTACTCCATGCACACGGTCACCTGTTTTGTATCCCCCAAAACATTACAATAAACACCACAGGTGTTAAAACGTGAACGGACTAACATCTGATCATAGTATTGAATATTTCATTTGCATAAGATGAGGATGCAAATATTTCGCTTACCTTTCTGTGTGACGAACACTGATGGTGATGCACTTGACTTCAGGGATTTCGTCTTCTCTCCATATCTAAATGGGGCTTGTTCTCTTGAAGATTACCGGGATCTTGTGCAGAAATGCAAATGCAGAGTGCACCTCCACGTCCCATCAGCCAAACAAAACCAAAACAAATATTAAAACAAGAATGTGATGAGCTGAGACCAACCATGTACTGCCCCTATTTATTGACCGGCCTAAAATTCCAACTGACCTAGCAACGGAAAGAGCAACCTTTACTAGCAGCAGGTTGCACATATAAATGTCTAATTTAGCTAGACCATCACACATGCGCTTTTTAACATTGGAATCGCTTTTTCAGTCAGAAACATTCACCGTTTCATGGCTGGCAGGTCAGTGAGGTGGACCAGGACACTCTTGCAGTGGGATACCAGACACAGGACACTTTTGCAGTCAGAAATTGCTGTAAAAAAGTCAGATAGAACAATCAATTAATATCCATGAAGGTTAAGTTATTACATTATCTTGATTAAAAAAAATATTGTTATGGAAAGTAACTAATGTTAACTAGCTAAACTGGTGCATTGAAGTAAAAATAAATAACATTTTAAGATACAAGTTCTGATTGCTTAGGGGTAATACTTCGAAGCGAGACTCACAATTTAATTCTGATTCAATTCAATTCAATTTATTTTATTTTGTATAGCCCAAAATCGCAAATTACAAATTTGCCTCAGAGGGCTTTACAGTCTGTACACATACGACATCCTCTGTCCCGAAACCCACCATCGGCACAGGAAAAAAAAAAAAAAATGCAAAAAAAAAACTTCCAAGAGGGAACAAAGGGAAGAAACCTTAGGGAGAACGTCAGAGGAGGGATCCCACTCCCGGGATGGACAGACTACAATGGATGCCATGTGTACAGAATGAACAATGTATAATACATGCAATTCCTATGACAGAAATGATTGAAGTAATTGTGAGTAGTAAGCCAGGCGCACAGCAGGACCACTGCAGGGGCAACCACCATCAGATAGAACCACCATCCACAGAAGCCTGTGGAGAGGGAGAGCAAAGAGACTTTAGGAGAGGGTAATGTTGCTTTATGAGTACAGTAATATGATTAATATCTAAAATAATAATGATGATGATGATGATCAGAGCAGGGCCACGGCAGGTGTCAGGACCAGGGTCCAGAGGGAACTACGATCTACGGAGACCTGCTAGGGGAGAAAGCACAACAAATTCAGAGGTACGATGTGATTGTAAAGCGAGTATTGATTAATCTCGAGATCAGGCATGAAAACGGGTCAAGGGTGAAAAAGGTCCGAAGGATATTACCCCTCTAGGGCAGGGGTTTTCAACTGGTTTCGTCCCAGGGATCATTTTTTGCGTACCGACGAGGGGGGGATGGGAATTGACAACAACTAATAGGGGACAAGTCATTAAATACTCGTCATGCATTATATTGCATTGCATATAATGCGTTCTCTCCTGCTGTGTTAAATGACTCAATAAGTCAGGCTGTAGCTAACGTTAGCTAAGTCTATGTCAACAAAGCTTCTGGGTAATTTAACTTAGATATACCAGAAAATATTAAAATTATTGAAACCATCACTCATCCTGTTCGCAATTCACTGAATCTCGTGCTCCCTTCTGGCACGCGCACCTGTTCGCAGTTCACTGAATATGAATACACCCCCACCCAAAAAAAACCTCATCGAATCTACACGATTCACATGTCACCTATTTTGGTTTCAAAACGGCGAATTTCGCCGAAAGGTGAGGGATTTTTATGCCTGTTTATTACTGTCTTACTTTGTTGTAAAATACACATTGACAGGGTGTTGTCCTCTGGAGTTTAACACTAGAAGCTGTATCACATCTTTTTTTAAATTCTTCTGTGGATTTGTTGCACCTTCTCGCTGTCTCTACATTATTACTGTACTGTCTGCTCTTGAAATACGAGCATGAAATGCTTAAGATGCAGCTTGAAATGTGTTGCAGCATATAGTTAAATGAATGCATCACTGGCCTGTTCATTCTGTACCCAGAAATCCAAAGTGAAACAAAGATTAATTGTTTTTGGAATGCAAATTGTGAGTCATTTGATGAAGATTATTTATATATGACAAATTGACTTATTGGCCTTTCTGTGTGGAGTCTGCATGTTCTCCCCGTGTCTGCGTGGGTTCTCTCCGGGTTCTCCGGCTTCCTCCCACAGTCCAAAGACATGCTCTGGGGATCAGGTTAATTGGGGACTTTAAATTGCCCGTAGATGTGTGAATGTGAGTGTGAATGGTTGTGTGTCTCTGTGTTGCCCTGCGATTGGCTGGCGACCAATCCAGGATGTACCCTGTCTATCGCCCGAAGTTGGCTGGGATGGACTCCAGCCCCCCCGCGACCCTGTGTGCAGGATAAGCGGTTTGACAATGGATGGATGGATGGAAATTGACTTATCATTTAGTGGTCATTTTCTTAACTGTTAACAGTGAGTATCAGCCATTCACTTGTCATTCCAGCCGGAGGATGATGTAGAATGCGTGCCACAAACTATTGTTTCTAGAAAACGTATATTATAATATTTAAACGATTACCGTCAGCATTAAAAACTGAAATGTAAGTTCATAAAAAATATCACTGTACAGAGATTCAGAATTACAAAATGTTTATTAATACATGCAAAAATCTTAAAGAGTGACTCTCCACATCAGGTCCGGAGGGTTTGTTCAGGATGGGAAGGTCTACTTCTGCAAGAAATAAACACACAAACAAACGAGAGTTGGGCAAACTTCTAAAAATCAATCCACTTATTTACTTGTATTCTTGCAAGTTAGAATCCCTGTAACGTGCCAAAAATAATTGTTAGAGCGGAGTTCTGTGTGTCACGTGGTTCCCTGTAAGGTCTGCAGTGTTTTCCTCCACGCTAACCAAAAATCCAAACATTACGGCACAAAATTGCTCTGTTCAAAGGAAACTCAGCGGAAAGTTAACAGAAAAATTCAGTCATTGCGCCTCGCTGGAGAATTAGCGTAGAGCTGTGAGAGTCAAATATTACAAGAGTGTAAAATTTCCACAGTAGCAGCAACAGGCACTTGAGCTAAGTTTACCATGACTAAATGTTACATTTACCTTTCTGTATTGCCAATGCTATCAGTTGATATAACTTTTTTAAATGGCACACTCCTTTCCACACATTATTCTGCTTTAAAGCAAATTATTTGCCACATCACCTTTATTAGCACACAGTGGACTAGAGTTTATCCTGAAGTTACAGTTCGATGTACTGAATTTAGAATGGATTAATGGAATGGAAATCAATCACCTCTGCTTTCGGGTTCTCGATGGCCGGTAGAGTTTGAACTCGGCTGGGAGCTCGTCCTCGGAGTACACTCTGTCCGAGAAGTATACTCTCGATACTCGACAGTTAGCGTGGATCTGGAAGGAAAACTGTTTAAATTCATTTGCATCAGACATGAGGATCCGCAATCACACAAGTTCATCTGTAAAGCGAGCCGGCTCCTTGTCGGTCTCCATGCACTAACCCGTACACGCAGCGTCTCGATGTAATTGGTCCCGTAGGCCCTCCTGGTGATGCTTTGCAGGTTGAACAGAATCTGGTTCCAGTCATCACCCAGCCTCAAAGGCATGGTGCAGATATACGGCTTTACTCGTGTCGTGCTGTGATCGGTGCTCGCCCGAAACCGCCGGCGATTGTTTTTATCGTCTAACAGCTATGCGTTTTTTGGGGGGGAAAAAAAGCATGAATCTGGTGACTGCAGAGAAATGAACCCATACACACGCAACGCACATTTGTTTGTTCCGACACTGAGCCGTGGAAGCTGTCTGTGTCTGCAGGAATGACGACCATACCTGGACTTCATAGGTGAAAGCCTTCTTGAGATTTTTGACAACCACAACAAGAAAAGGAAGTTTGATGCCCAATGTCATCTTGGGGTCTGCGGGACATGTTATATATGTGGCACTGCAGGGAGCAGAGGAAACACAAAGACGAGTGACATGGATGAGGGTTGCAAGTGCTTGAACTGGTTGACCTGAGCTGAAGAATCAGTTAAACATAAACTTACATGACAATCGCCTCCTCAAGCTCCAACTCCATCGACTTGGTGTCGTTGTCCATAACTTGCTTGATGTGACCATTCCTCACCTTTGAAGACACAGAAATATCATGTTTAGTTTACGCGCAGAAATGATCTCAATGGCAATGCGGATCCAACAAAAACCAAATGCTCCTCTACTAGTGTCACCTGTTGCTTGGTAATCTCCTTGTGTATTGCTAACGCTAACATTGAACCCTGAATACAAGGGTCTTCCTGAATAAGAAGGTGACTAATGATATCAGCCCCGTCAATTACCTAAAATCCTCCCCAAATCAATAACATTGCTTGGAATTATAATGCAACCTGTTTGGTTTCAAAATAACAACAAGAAACTCGACAGCGCTATTGAGACGAGTTAAACACGTATTTATACTTTTTAGTGAAGCCGATTAACTGCACTTATCAAAGAGTCGATGGAAGTTCATGTGACACATTAACATTTGAGCAATGCATCCAAAACACACGACAACAGAGAAGGAAGTTTTGGTCTTGCCAAGAGATCATTTAGCTAGCCTAATCACAAAACATGTACCGTGGGTTAGCTTTAGCGCGGCTATCTAACACGGCTAAACTCTGTTAGTGGTATTGTGCAAGCTCACCTCTTTATGCCATATCATAAGCGGGTTTCTCCCGAGGTTGGAGAAAAGGGACAATAATCCACTATGTGAAATATCTTTAAACATGTTCACACCGCTTAGTCCACTGCCGTTATGCGAATGGCCGTTAGTACTAAAACTGTTCCAGCTAACAACCGTTGCGTTTGTTTAGAGATTTGGTTTACATTCAAATCGCTACCACTTCGAGTGGTAGAAAAGAAAAACAGTTGCTGTGGTAACAAAAAGTTGCCATTGTATTCTGTATGTATATTGTGTCATAGAAACAGTGCAAGATAGTATGGATCAAATTGATAACAATCAATAGTAACATATGAAATAAATGTGCAGCACATTTCATGATATATATCAGGCTACAATGTTAAGTTGGTCTTTATTTTATAAAACTATATATATATAGAAGCTCAACTCAGAGCGACTCAGGCCTGGGACACACACACACACACACAGTCCCTCTTGGTTGAACTGGTCACACTGGGAACACTTGATGTGCAACTAGTAACGTAAAAATTGTTTTAGATCATCAAATCTTTAAACTAAACCTGATTGGATTAAGCTGAGGGAACAGGAAGTGCTGCACTGACAGGATGTGCGTTTATCTTAGCGGCGGCAGCGGGCTGCTTGACCGAAGTCGGCTCTTCGTTGGCTCGGTTGGGGGTCCGGAATTGACAACAACTAATAGGGGACAAGTCATTAAATACTCGTCATGCATTATATTGCATTGCATATAATGTCTGCTGGTCAAATAGTCTAAAATTAATTTTAGACAAATTTTTGCATCGTTTAGAGTGACAAATCGTACCAGCGTACTTTGAAGTCAGAATGCGTATCAGGTTGGCAGGTCTGCTTATTGATAGAACGGTGGACCACTTTACCTTCTGCCTTGTCAGTCCCCTCACCTCAAAATCTACCTCCTCAAAAACGGTAGCGTTAGCTAATCATTTCCCACCGGAGCTTTAGCTAGCTGGCCAACGTTGCGTTCTCTCCTGCTGTGTTAAATGACTCAACTCATCAAGCATTAGCTAAGTCTATGTCAACAAAGCTCCTAGGTAACTTAATTTAGATAGACCAGAAAATATTCAAGTTAACAAATCTCTTCTATCATTGGAAAGTGAACCAATCGAAAAATAAATAAAGTCGGTGTTGTGTTCAAAAATGAAGAAACGCCAGACGGACAGAGGGCATCGCCGATCGAAAGGTTAAAATCAAATGTATTTAATAAAAGAGATGGTGTTGTGGTAAAAAGAACATCTCAGGTGAGGAGCCGCTGGTCTCAGCAACCAACAGGCCTCAGGTCAGTCCTTTGACCCCCCATAGTGCCCGTCTGTTGTCTCCACCAGCGAACTCCAGAACAATGGTTCCTACAGGTATTTATAACAATGCTTAAAGGTGTGAAAGTTAGTGTCCACACCTCTGGGAGTGGTCTTCTGGTGAGTTGTAACTCGGATGTCGAATGGCCCTCAGTCAACATCAGTTGTTGTGCAAGTATTACATGCATGCATTCCAGTTAATTACATCAAATACAATCATAACTGTACATTGGTATTATTCTATTACAGTTGCAGAATTACAGTGGTTTTACAATATTGTCATTACTTTATTGATTACACAGTTCCAGAATCATGGCTGCATTCTGGTGTACACTATATGCATTTTATTCATTTTATGAACCGGGTCGTCAGTTTATTTCTAATATCCTACATTGGGCAGCAGAAACTAAACGTTCACTTTTTATTTATTTATTATTTAGTTTTCATTATTAAAGTTAGCTTTGTCTTTACTAGAGTCGGTAAAAGAATGCTAACGATAAATTAGCCTTGCGCCGCTATTGGGCTTGTCCGGACTAGCTAATTTATATCCCATGTTCCAGTATTAAAGCTAAATGACGGTAGTTTCATCCCTATTTAACGAAACGTGTGGTTAGTAATTTATTTTCATTCCAATTCAGCAGTTTAGCTAAGCGTCAGCGCGCTAATTTAACTCTATAAATGCTTTGATGTTAGTATGCTAACATCAAAGCATTTATTTATAAGTCAACGTTAGCTAGTCGTGAACACCTTAGAATATATTGCTAACATGTTACCTCGTCATTAACAATAGCTCACCGTTCACATCGGCAAGTTATGTGGCAGGTTGCAAAAAGGAGACAACTTAACGTTAGCTAACCTAAGCATTGCTAGCCATGCACGTGGGGACTGTCGGCTTTTCAAATTTGGTCAAAAATAACACTAAATAACAAATAGCCTCAACAGAACAACTAGTTAAGATATGAAGACATTAATGCACAAATAATTGTTTTACATTTAGACGGATGGCGGTGGATATCTGCTAACCTTTTCCAAGTGCGGGCCAACGGTTATCTTCTTAATCTGGTTGTGACAAGACGGCCTTCGTCTTGGTTTTCGCGGTCATGTCAGATACTTGATTGTCTCAGTTTATCGCAACTTGAATGGATCTAATAAATGTTACATTTCTGAAGTTCATGCAAATCCTTCATGACTGAATCACGTTCACATTGGAAATATGAATTAATATCGTTCGAAATACATGTTGCACTAAAGTGAATGTAACAACCAGCCAATAGCATTTTTTTGAGTGCAGGTGCGAGGAACATTTTAACATAAAAATCTGTTGACTCGGTGTTGCTGGTTGAGTGTGAAGGGAGCGACAGTCATTTACAGGAGTGTCTGTAAACATCCGCGGAGAGACCATAATAGCAGATATCCACATGTTACTTTGATTTAGCGCCTGCCTGGACATCCACGCACCGCGATCCGTCAAGCCGCGCAGACACGCCGGGGAGCCGAGTTACCGGAAGTTGGGCTGCCTTCAAATTAAAAGCGTCGAAATTGGTTCTGTTTCAAGTAGTTGCTAGATTGTTTAATGCATCACTTTATTAGAGTAGGTGCCTTCTGGGGGCCGGGTTCGCGTTTTTCGTCAAATAAGCGTTGCTACCTATTGGTAAATTAACTTTATTCAACAAACCGAGTCGTCTTTTTTCCAACCGGTTTTTAAGAGCTGACGATATTAGTTCAGCGGACAGTGCAAACAGACTTTTCTATTATATGCGTAGCTATTTCTTCCACCGTCCCATAAACGCGTGGAAACCGCATCGCCATTACTAACGTGATGTTGCTTTCCAGCTGTTAGTTAAGGATGAAGTGACAGCTGTAATTGCGTCTAACTTTACGCACAACTGTCACGCTCCTCTGACTTATTGTGGACGGCGCTTCCTTAACCAACAAAATGCCGTTTATTATCCCGGGTTATCGCCGCGGGTTCCTGTCGCTTCTTGTTCAGGTCTCCCGTCCTGTTCACGCCGGCGTAGAAACATTTAACTGACCGCTGCAATTTATCGGCCGTCTTGCTTGCGACTCGAGACCGGAAACCGAGTTTATTTTTTCAAGCCGCGGTTCGCTTGACGTGCCTGTCACCCCCGCCCCCCTCACCTCCTCCCCCCTCACCTCCTCACATCAACAGCAGGGGGAGGATATCCGACCCCCGTCTCAGGCGAACATGGTGGCAGCTACGCGTGGCTCGCCCGGTTAACACGGAGACAAACTCCCGCTGTGTGTTTTATATGCGGCGCCCTAAACTCCAGCAGAGAGGCGTATCGGGGGGAGGAGGGGGGGGCGACCAGCAGGCGGACGGAAGAGTACGCACGGCGGGCAGAGCGCGCACAGTGTTGTGCTGGTTGAACACATGCACGCCAGCGGAATCCGACGCAGCCCGGACCCGAGGGATCGGCCGAGATAAGGAGATGGTGCCGACTGCGGGGCGAGTTCTGGTGATCCCACCGAGGACGTAGCCGAGGGGCTTCCTTCAAGGCTCTGGGCATTTTTTCCTTCTTCTTCTCCTCTCATACGTCTTTGCTGTGTGTGTGTGTGTGTGTGTGTGTGTGTGAGGGGGGGGGGGGGGGGATGCGAGGGGAGGAAATCCAGCCTCAGCTCCAAATAACCAGAGACTCCTAAACTGGGACTCCTTTCCGAACGCAGGAAATACGGCCTGGGGGAGAAAAAAAAAGTTTTTTTGTAAAGGAGAGAAGGGGCCCAGTCGCTGATGTTTTTGCATTTTACGGCGTGATTTACGAACAGCATACCACGTTGTTGTTGTTGTTTTTTTGTACTGTTACTCCATAGATTGGAGTTGCTGAGAAAGGACCCGCCGTCGGTGTTGTTATTGCACGGGGGTTTGATTATCACTATTTATAGACCAGCCTGTTCCGACCGAGGCTGTTCCTTGTAGCTGTAATTTTTACAATTTTTTTTTTTGCCAACTGCGCGCAACAAGTTGCAGACACTCCCAGCAGAGAGGCAACGCGACTCTGCTTTGCGCCGGCAGATGGTATTTTCTGCGCTTCTCTTTTTTTGGATTAGCGTCTTGTGAATAACGCACAACCCCGAGTCTCCCCCCTCCTTCTTTGGAAGACGCAGGCAGAATAACCGGTGGAGATCCGGAGTGGGAGTTCAGGAAAGGACGCGGCTGGATCCTTGGGAATAGGCCCGCCTGTCAGGCCTCTTGTGATCCGGATCTCGGACTGGACGCGGCTCCCGAACGAGCGGCGTCCGGACTGCTTTCACTGCCCGCTGGAATACGGATGAAACGAGCATTCGTGGGAGTAAGAAATGCAAATCCTCCGCACTCTGAGCTGTGACAAGGGGGTTTAGTGGAAGGTAAAGCCGCCTTAGTTACACATCCCTTTTAAATCAGCGCGAACCGTGTAAAGTCAAAACAGTAACAAATAAAAGTAAAATACTTGATGCGAAACGACAACTAGTCTTTTACCGCAGGACCGTTTTAATCACACACATTTAATGCTGCGTGCTGGAGAATGCGTGCTGTGCACATTATTTCGTTTCAGTCATAATAGTTGATTTAAGCATTAATAACAGTATAACTTTTGAAGAAAAGCCGCACGCCGCAAACTATTGACAGCCTCCATCTGTATTCGCTCATTCATTGGAATCCCCTCGACCTGAACGCTGCCCCCCCTCATGCAACAAAGTTATGTTGGATTGACAAAAAGAAAAGCAGGGTTTTTTTTTCCCCTGACGCGGTCTGACTTTGAAATGTCAGCTCTATCAACATATTGCGCACATACAGCGGAGGTCATTTCCAGTCATTTAACGCCAGAACCGACTGGATAAAGTCATAAAGACACACAGAAATAACTCCGTTGTATCTCCAACCAGTCCTTTCCGGGAAGGATGGTCAGTTCAGGAGGCAGAAGGAGTTGTGGCAGTACTTTAACCGCAGCTGGATAGAAAGCTGGGGCTCAAACCCGGAGCCTCTTTGGGGATGAATACATGTAACATGAGTACTGACGCATACCCGGGGTCGGAGAATGAACTGCTCAAGGACCTGGAACGGCGCGTCTCGTACGAGTGAGAGAGCAGACTCCTGTGTGCGTAGCAAAGACGTCTGTGCCGTGCTCCCCATTCAAGCACTGTGATTATTCCAAATCCCTTTGCGCACTCTCTCTCTCTCTCTTACTTCCCGTGCGCTATGTGCACACTCTGTGCCCACGTCTAATTGCCAGAGGGCCATCAGAAGATAATACACCCCCACCCCCACCTCCCCCTCGACATGGCCACTCTGCAACACCAGCGGCAGCTTGTCATGCACTGCACGGAGGCGAGCTGCGACTCCAGCGGTGATGGCGCAGTGACCGTGCAGATTAGCAACAGCGCGCCACACGTGCATCCACACGAGCCACTGAGGACTGCCGGCAAGGCTGTGAGCAAGATTAAACCAAACCTCCACAAATACAGCATCTCTTCCAGTTGTAGCTCGGCAGACTCGAGGCCGGTCGGGGTCCCTGCCCCGAGGGCGCACAGGAAGGCCCTGCCGCTGTTCGAACGCTCCGCCGCTCAGTGCTGGGACCCCAAGTTCGACTCGCCCATCCTGGAAGACGCGTGCCAAGAGAGGTGCTTTCCTCAGACACAGCGGCACTTCCGCTATGTCCTCTTCTACCTGGCAGTGGCGGCTGTACTCTGGGGGGTTTATTTCGGTGTCAATAGTGACCGATGCGACCCTGTGGCCTTTGTAGCACCCACAGCCTCCTTCTTCGTCCTCCTGGTGCTCCTCTTTTTGTTCACCTTAACGCAGGCCTACAGGAGGCTGTACAACCAAACCGCCTTGCTCCTGATCGCAGTCACCTTCGCCATCACCTTAGCTCCACAGACGCAAACCGCTGGCTACAACGAGCTGAAGTGGGCTGGCGGTGGGAACGCTTCATATGTGCCACTGCCTCCAACTCCTTGCATCTCCCCCGTGGGAACCTTTTCCCTGTGCATGGAGGTTTTGTTGTTGTTATACAGCGTCCTCCATGTTCGTCTGTATGCCTCCGTGATGCTGGGGCTCCTGTATTCTATATTATTTGAGGCATTGGAATGGCTGCCGTTGCTTCAAAAGAGTTACGACACTACTTTATGGGGGACGGGGTCGCCGGGGTCAAGTCCCGATTGGGAAGGCGACACCCTCCGTTGGCTCGGCCCGGCCAAAGCTCTGCTCCACTTGTGCGCCCACGTCATTGGTATCCACCTGTTCATCATGTCGGAGGTGCGTTCCCGTAGCACCTTCCTTAAAGTTGGCCAGGCTATTATGCACGGCAAAGACTTGGAGGTGGAGAAGGCCTTGAAAGAGCGCATGATCCACTCCGTCATGCCGCGGCGGGTGGCGGATGAGCTGATGAAACAAGGCGACGATGAGGGCGGCGGGGAGAACTCTGGCAAGCGGTATTCCTCCGGTGCTTGCTCTGCCTCGGCCGTCTCAGTGGGGGGCGGAGGTAGCGGCGGAGCCTCGCAAGCCCAAAGTGCCACAAGTGGCAAGAGCTACCCTCACAACAATCACAAACGCAAGAAGACCTCCATCCCCAGTGGACAGATCATCTTTCGGCCTTTCAATATGAAACGCATGGAGCCCGTCAGCATCCTCTTTGCGGATATCGTGGGTTTCACCAGAATGTCGGCCAATAAGTCCGCTCCCGCCCTGGTGGGCCTTCTCAACGATCTGTTTGGACGCTTCGACCGTCTATGTGAGCTAACCGGTTGTGAGAAGATCAGCACTCTGGGAGACTGCTACTACTGCGTGGCCGGCTGCCCCGAGCCCAAGCCGGACCACGCCTACTGCTGTGTGGAGATGGGCTTGGGCATGATCCAGGCCATCGAGCAGTTCTGCCAGGAGACACGCGAGACCGTCAGCATGCGCGTCGGCGTCCATACGGGCACCGTCCTATGTGGCATCCTGGGAATAAAGCGCTTCAAGTTTGACGTGTGGTCAAATGATGTCAATCTGGCTAACTTGATGGAGCAGCTCGGCGTGGCGGGGAAGGTCCACTTGTCAGAAGCTACGGCCCGGTTCCTGGACGACCGTTACCAGAGGGAGGACGGGCAGGTGGCGGAGAGAGCCGGACAAAGTGTGGTGGAGAAACTGAAGGGTAAGTGGCTGCTCACCTCCAACTTCCTCTGAAGTTCCCCACATGAATTGAGTGTTAGATTGCAGTGTCATATATTACTGTCTCTTCAATAACTTTTTGAATGTTTTAAGCAGCGCTCTATACCTATTTTGGAGCTCTGCATTTTAATGACTACGGTCTGTGTCATAACCTTTTTAATTTACAAATACACCAAATGGATTGTTACAGAAAAGATTATTTGATTAAATGCCTCTTCTAATGACCCAAAGTCCGTTTTGCTAGAGAATTCAAACCACAAAACGGAATATGAAGATACTCGGACTGATTCAGGGCTGTTATATATCATACATTACAGTTAAACAACACATATTTTGCAGGCCTTCTCTTGGAATAAATACCGTTTTTAATCAAATCTGTTGAGGTGAGTTAACACCCAGTGAAAGGTCCGGTTCGTATCTCTTGACTGTGTTTAAAGCTTCTTGTTGTGGTGGGACAGAATGTTTGAGCTGACCGGCTTCACTGTCCTGAGCCAGGTACCGTACTGGGTTTCAGTGGATTAAACAGGAGTTTATTGGGCCCACGATGGATGGTGAAAGTGGTGAGCGACTAGATGGACACCTCACATCTAATGCTCATATCGCACCCCTCCCCCCCTCCAACCTGAACGCACACAGCAAACACAGACGTGTGTCTCAATGGAACTGCTCTCTCCAGCAGGAGCTTCCTCATTGTCCTTCTAATCGTAGGTCGTAGGAGTGTGTTCACGCTTTGCTCTAAATAGTGCCGTCACTCTCCATCTCCAGACCGGTAAACAGTAACAGAGTAGGGATACGGACACGCCGCTTTTGTTGAGCGTGAAAAGGGGAGAAAGGGTTTCCTGCTGCGTGAGAAGGATGGGTCGGCATAGTGTATTTATTTAAATTTTTTTTGTGAAATGAACAGAGAGAAAAGCAACACACTTCTTTTGTTGACTAAATATAATTATTCAGAATCACATACTCCTGCTTCATGTTGTGAATAGTTGAACAAATCAGTTTTTGCTGCTCTTCATGATTTATTTGAATACCTTGAGTTTTCTGAGACCTCGAGGTGTCTCTCTTTCTCACCGTTTATCCTAACAAATTTTTATTTTGTCTTTTATGCTGAAATATTTGCATGAGGGATAAAGTGAATAATTTTGTATGTTTCCTTAGTTCCAGGCTCTATACATTCCTGGTTGTTTTAATTCTTTTAGACAACGTTATTGTGTACCACGATATTTCGATGCACAATCTGTTTCCATTGAAAGGTGATAAATAATCATATTGAATCATCATCCGCCCTCCTGTCTCTCTTTCTCTGCCCCCCCCCCCCCCTTCCACATATCTCCCTCTGCTCCCCCTCATCCTCGCCGTGTTATCACATTCATCGCCTCGGTCTCTCACCTGTCACCCAGGCCGTGACATGTGGTCTGTTGTGTAACACCGCTTCATTGCTGGTGGTCTTTAATCTTGGGGTAAGTCATTAGTTGTGTCAGCAGTGCGCTGAATCTAAGTGATGTATGAAATCGAATTACATGTATGTCCCACCACAGTGCAGTACATGGAACATAGACTGTGTAAAAACTGCATGAACCGCCAAATCCAAGCATCTGCTGTATCTATTTAATGAAAGACTAAGGGATGAGTCATACCCCTGTTGGTTAATGCATTAACTACAAAAGTATGCAGTGAGGATTCAGAATAGGCCAAATAAGCAACATTGTTATGCGTGGCTCTACTCCTTCACAGGAGAATACACAGTTTATTTCAGAAAAGTACACAAATAGTTATATACAGTGTATATTGTTGTTATATGGATGTTAATAGTGTGAATCTGATGAAATATAATGATGCAATTTATTTAAACTAAAAAGAGAAATTACGATCACTGAAGGAGTTGTAAAAGTTACACCCTGAAAAAACTTGGTTGGCTTCAAATGTGTCCTATTGCATTGTGGAACACAGAAGCCTTAAAGTGACCAAACACTTACGTGGTGTTTTGTTTCTTCCCACAACTCGAGTGCATCATTTCTATTGTAAATCTGCCTTTCAAATTCTCAGTAATCGACGGTCCCAATGATGGTCACCATCTACTCTTCCCCGTTTATCTACAGTTTTCTCAGGAGATTACCGCTTTTCACTTTGTTGTTTATTGTGTTGTTTTTTTTGCCACATCTTACTCTTTATATCTATACATATCTTTATAGATACTTGGATATTTACACCCTCCATTTTCCTGCTTTGCCTTGTAGCCGATGCCTCCCTCTCTCCCCTCGCTCGGCTGCTCACGCCTCGCCTCTTTTTCTCTGTTCCTAACACGCGGCTATTTCACGGCAAGTGGTGAGGACTGCAGTCCTGTATCTGCTGTCCAACAAATGACTTTTCTACGCTCCCCTTGTCAAGTGCTGCAGCTTGGGGAAACCAGCTTGTGGAGTTTTCTGGCACAGGTGTGTGTGTGTGTGTGGGTGTGCATTAGATGGTCTACATTTTTCGTCACAGCTCCGTATAGTTACAGTGTGTTTGTACTTCAGCAGCCTCAAGGTTCCCACCTTGAACTGCTTTAACAGTATAATAAGTCGACACTGGCACCTGCTCAATTTTTAGTGTGTGTGTGTGTGTGTGTGTGTGTGTGTGTGTGTGTGTGTGTGTGTGTTTTGCGGCCGCAGAAATCGGGGCTTGTGTTGTGTGCAGTGTGTCTTTGTGTGCGTCCGTGGCACATGTACACCGGTGTGTACAAACAGACCTATTCTTCCAGTGCAGGCAGAGTGCTGCTTTGGGAAGTTCGTGGCCCCGGGCTGGTTGGTCTGAGTTAAATCAAACATGTCACTTAAACACGCAGAAGCAAATGGCAGGCCGGCCACAGTGGGTCGTGGGCTTCGCTGTTCTGCACTCTGCTTTTCTCCAGTGCTCCCTGGTGACGGTAGCGGCCTTTTTACCGTCTCGTGGAGAGCCCTCGCACTTCCACACCGCCCGCGCGATAAGAAGCTGGGATTTGGCGTTCACTTGTCAAGTTTTCTTTTTAATCGGCAAATGTTACTCTGTCGATGGAGGTGTATTAAAGTTCATTACAAAGGTTTTCTCCTGTGGAGTCTACATCTGTACTATATCACCATAATACGGTACCATAATATCAGTACATAACAATCAGTATTTCATTGATATTATTAGTACATGAAATTAATTCATGGGAAATTCTGTTGGGACTGGGACTTTGAAACTAATAGGTCAAGACAACAGTGTTTTCTGATGGTGAAGCTTTGCTGGGGCATGAAGTGAAATAATTCCACATTTATTCAGGCTGTGTAGGGAACGTTGGCTGTTTGTCACAAGCACTGCACCACTTTATTCTGTTAATGGCGCCGCTTTTTCCCCAAAAGAGAAGACTTTTATTTGTATTGCACCTTCCATCGACAAGGCAATAAGAGACCGAGAGGCATTAGGATGAGATATAACTGATGCACAAGGGAATATAAGCCATTTATCTACGCCGTTATTAGTGTTAATTAATGTTACTAGTTAAGCCTTTGGTTCCTCTACCCCGAGAAGTCTAAATATCTGTTAAAGAGGGCACATTCTGTCCTGAGGTTAGTTGGTTAATTGATCCTTAGAACATTCAATATTAACAATAATTATTATTAAGTGATTTTAACACATACCCATTATTGAATATACAATGAGTAATTATTTATAATACGAATAAAAAAAGATTAATAAAGAGTACAAATATTCTAACAAATGTGATTTAATACCTCTGAGATACTGGGAAAAGCTCGTATGGTACTTCTGAAGTCATCCCTTCCACATTGAAAGCCGTCGCCGGGAAAAACGGATTTCATGTTTACTTTCTGCGGCCAAATCTTCTCAGGCTTCTTCAGCAGATTGTAGTAACTGTAAGATAGTAGGCATCAGAGTCTCTCCTCCACAGGTCGTCTTCTCCTTTTGGGGCGGAGCCGCGTGGCTGCGTTGGCCTGTCCAGCAGTGTGTGCGCCCGCATGTTTTATGACAAAGATAAGACCCAAAGGACATCAAACTAAATGGCTGATCAAAGTCCTTTGGTACACAGATAAACGTGCATACAGTTGTATATAGTTAGTTAGAGAGGGCTTTATGGCTGAGAGGTGAGCACACAAGCTAGAATCAACTCTGGGAGTTTTAATGTTGTCTTTGTAGCGTAAACTCTCGGCGTTCGCATGTGTCGGTCTCATACGTGTGCGTATGAGACCGACACATCCTCTGTTTGAAGTTGAGAGGAGGCGGTTGTCCTGAGGCCTGTGACCCAACGTGCTGTTGTTGGCCCTGCTTCTTCTACCTCATTGGTCTACAGCGACGCTGATCCTGCAGGGTTCAAAGGTCAACCGTAATATCTCTCTCTCTCTCTCTCTCTCTCTCTCTCTCTCTCGTAAGTAGTCTTGCAAGCGTGTCTGTTTCTCCGTCTGCTGCCGGTTGTCGCTGTGCATGATAACGGAATGAAAAGGAAAATGGCATCCAGTAACAGGAGCTAAACATGGGAACCGAGAGGAAAGAAGACGACCACGCAGGAATGTGCTGGGGAACTGAGGGAGAAAAAAAACCAACATAAAAATAAACTTTTGAGACTGAAATGACTTTGGGATATTTGCAGAGGTAATCGGCTATACTCCCGTTTATTTTGTTTTAACCCCATTTTTACTATTTGTTTTGTGGCTTTCTTCTATGTGAGAGGCAGTTAAGAAGACCAAAGTTTAATTTCCTTAATCCCATCCGCAGCATCGGCGACCTTGTCAAATTCAGCAGCGACGTCACGATAAAGGGATATGAATCAATTGAATTTAGTTCCTCATGTTTCTTAAACTGTATTAAGGATTGTGTGGCGGTTGAGGTAATGGACCTACAGAAACTTGTATAATGGTGTTCAATATTATATTAGGTTCTTCCTAATCCCATTCTCATTACAGTTTTTTCCGATTGCTAAACGACAGCGGGCACAACTGGAGTCAAGCCTAGTTTATGCTTCTGCGTTTT